AGCGCGTGAGAATCGTTTAAACGTCACGAACTGTATCTGTCAGCCAGGGGGTTGGATCGAAGGGTGAACAGAGGAGGACGGGAATTTTTCGCGTCGACGACGCGACCGCTCGTGCCGTCACGTTATTTACGGCAAACGCCAAAAACATTATCGAAATCTCCATTTTTTTTCTCTCTACTACGTATCGCTCGGCTTCTCGCGTGTTGATTTTTGTATAATATTTCCATTTTTTTTTCTTTTCAATCCTGACACTTTCGAGTCCGAGCGAAATCGAAACGCTAGTGTCGAGCAACCGTTGCGTGAAATCAAGCCTGGTCGTTTTGAAAATCACTTTGACGGGTGTACACCGATCAAATAGAGCGTTATGAAGCACGCTGGAAACTGTTGACAAGCGTTTTCGAAAATAAATATAAAGCTAGAATTTGTTTAGCCGTTAGTAATGTAATTGAAATTAGACAAATTTTAATTATTTCAATGATTTCATAATGAAAAGTCGTTGCTGGTCTTCGCGAAGGCGTTCATCCATTTTCATTAAACCCGACTGGCTTTCTTGGCACAATGCCTGGGCCCAGTATTGCGACCCTATTACCTGGTCGAACCATTTCTATTCTTCAATTACGCGATACCGTCCACTTTTCCATTCCCTTTTTATCATCATCCTTGCTCCCCCGCCCCATCACGCTCATCGTGACATCAGACATCGTACCGTACTTCCTCCTCCTTCTCTTGGCTCGCATTATTAAGGGTCATGCTACCCTTGCGTTGTATTCAACCGAGCCAGCATCGATTTTCGTCTCGAGCCCGAGTGCATACGGACGAGACTGTGGCATAAGAATAACTGGCGCGGGAACAGGTGGTATCCCCCGCGTTACGCGAGTATCCGAAGGTGAAATATATTCAAGCGTCGACCATCGGTATAATATTAATCAACTGGCAAACGCGTGGCAAGAAGAGAAATTGCATTTATATGAAATCGTTAAGCCGCACCCGTTCAATTTCCTCCTGCGAACATCCGCTAATTGATAGATCTCTAATTCCATAAACCTATAATTCCACGGGCCGAAATTCCATGAAGCTGCGAACGCTGCGGCACGTTCGAATATCGGGGCCAGAGACAAAAGTTGATATCGAACGGTAAATACAGAGCGAATCTCCCGGATGCCACTCAAATTCCATTTTCACCACCTTCGACCACCGCTACCCGAGGCTACGTGTTCCGATCTTGTTGCAAGTATACGAACCAGTGATCGAACTGTCCGAGCGAATCAGTGTACCGTCCAATACGTGAATCTATCTGTCTATCTCTCTCTCTCACACTGGTTTTCTCGCACAAGCACGTGTACGCCAACAGAATGCAATGACAGCTCTCGTGACAGCCACGTGACGTTTGCGGGTATTCCGCTAGGCATCTAATTATCGTTTGCCACGTAGACTGCGACCGTAGCTGTTTGTAAGAAATTCTTTCGTCAATTTGCACAAGATCACGAATCGAAAACAGCTAGAGGACTCCGATCGTTAAATGAAAAACAAACGCGATTCCTCTCTTTTTTTTATCTATGAATTCTTGAACAGATAACGTCGAACGGGTTTATCATGGAACTTCCTCGTTGCGAATAACTTGAATTACTATTATATAATCAATTACTGGTATGAACACAGGAACACCGTTAATTAAGACATTTAGCCGTTTAGCTTGCATAACGATCATTTTATTGTTATCGTCATCCGCGTCATCGAAGCGTTTAACAATCCCTGTGAATAATCTCAAGCGACGGAAGAACGAATCGGTCTCGGTCTGGCTATCTTTACGATTAGCCTCGAATCGAAGGTTCCTTCGTCCTTGTCAAGAGAACGTTGCTAATGCACGTTTGCTCGTCCATTGACGAGCTTAATTACGTTCGATAGATGGGGTAAAAAGTTAGCCCCGTTTAAGCTCGTTCGACGCGACATCCCGCGTATTCTTCGTGGACCGTGCTTCGTCTCTGTCTGTATCTCGTCATCCTCGTCTCTTTAACCGGTTGTTCTCCATACACCGAACTCACACCCCCGCCAATGTCCCAGCTTCGTGGCAGGGCTACACAGAGCGGCGCCTCTGAAAGCCATTCCTGATCATTCGCGCGTACTATATTATTTTTACCTCCGCAACTAGAGCGGCGAAACACGCAGGCGTTATCAAACAGGGCTTTGTCTAACTTTAATTGAAAATATTGGAATAAATCTTCCAATAGACATTGTCGGGCGAAACTGCCGCTCGAGCGGTGCTGTACAACCATCGCACGCGAAGAGATAGGGATGAGACGAGCCGACCAGATGGTTGGCAGGGAGAAGAGGGACGTGGAACAGGACAGGCAGCGTAAAGAGGGTGAGTAACTGGATGGCTACTGAGTGGAACAGGGACACGAGCATCAACGAACGGGCCAGAAGAGGTAAATAGCCATTTGTGGTCGAGTTTATAGCGAAGGTTTGCTGTTCAAAAACAGTCGACGATGCCGACTCGCAGCCAGCGGACCGTTTTGGCAATTCGAATCAATTCTGTCCCTATTTCCCCATCCCTCTTCTCTGCCACTTGTCGCCAGGCTACGTTTCGAAACAGTTCGTGTCGTATCAACGCTTCCGTAAATGCGGCAAATGAACTCTGACCGTTTGTACTGTTTTCTTCTCTTATCTTACCTTTTTACACTATTACGACGAAAAAATAACACAGTAATTACCACGCGTTATTTCTACCATCTTGAAATTCACTTAGCGCTTTCTAAAAACAGCTTGTTCAATTAGAGACTCGTTTCCAAAAACAGAAATCATGTTAGGCGATGATGCGGTACTTTATAGACTTGCTTTCCCCTTTGTCGATTTAATCGAGAGAAAAACCGCATTAACGGGGACGCGTTCAGGAGCGAAACCGCTCCGGAAACGCTGGAAAATTACAGGGCTCGAAAAACCCCTGCCGCCTGGAGGCTAGGATTGAACCGCTTTCAGACTTTCCACGGGCCTCGCTCGGAGCACCCGGTAATGACGATAACGAATCGTCGTAATGGCGGCTGACAGCCGGTCGTTGTCGGCGCTGGGCGACAACAGCGTCGCTTTGGAATTCGAAGCGCGACAGGGTACATAGGTAGGCGCGCGAGCAACGACGGTTATCGGAGTCGATCATTCAATTTTGCGCTGCAAATTGTCCGTGCCGGAAACTCATATCCGGGCACTTCCGGTTCTCCCTGGTTCCGCCTCCGGGGAACAGGAGTCTCGCGAAAGGGCGGCCCTGCTGAATGGCCCGGTTCAAGAGAGAGACTAGGAACCTGAAGAGCAAGAGAAACAGAGACGTCAGGGGAAAGTGAGGGGGAGAGAATAGAGGAACGAAGAGGTCGCGGATTCGATAGACAAGGACTCTGACTCGGATGAGCGACGAGCTCGCTTCCGGTTGATGGCTCGTCCTCCTGGCGCTCTCACCTGTGCTCCACCCTGCTATAAGTCCGTATTATTGTTACTCAAACTTTTGGTTAAATATTACTCATCTTATGATTAGTTAAAACGATTCACCTTTAATTCTTAATAAAAATTAGAGAAATTGATGGAGAATTGCACATTATTATCAAATGATATACGAATTCTGTTCTACTGTGAGGATGTTCGATCAGTCTGGTCGGTCGCCGAAGTTTTGCCAACTTTATGCATGTAAAAAGACGCGTAACGAGTCGCTTCCATCCCCCAGAGTCAGTATAAAATGTGATTATTAAACTGGAACTATGTAGATCTAATCCGGGCATTACTATTCATCGCCAGACCATCGTCAAACCAACGGACCTAGCAGAATTATTCTCGTCAATCTGAAACCAATTGGGATTCGAATTCGCGCGTGCATCGCTTCGCGGTTCTCCTCTGTCCGCTTTTCGTCCACGGTCCAGCCGCAAGAAATAATTCGAAAAAAGGGGGTCGACGCGCTCTGCCGAGGTCTCAGTTAACAATCGTCGACGATTCGATTGTTGAGCATGCTATTATTAGCCGATGTTTAGCAACAAACAGGCGAAAAGCGGCAAGGACAACGGTGAGCCGATGCAAATCAGGATTTGTCGAATCGATCGACGTACACATCGGAACGATAATTAGGCTCCAGGCACTAACTATTATCGGCTGCGCTTACAATTAGTGCCTTTTAGCAGGCTCGGTCTAAATTTTCGAACTGTTTCGACAAACACATCGTGCCGTTCCGCGTGGACGATGATGATGATGATGATGATGATGATGATGATGGCGATGTTCAGCTTCATTAACGCCTGAAATTCCACTTAATCGGCTCGTTTGTACGGATTACGCGTCAGAAAATCGAGCGATAAACTTTAGGTCTGGCGCAAAAGTCTCATAAAATTATGCAGACACCATGGAGCCACTTATGAGAACGTATCGACGCGTACCAGCGTCCGCCTCGATATTGATGTTACATGTTTTCCAATTAATGCAAATTCCGCGGATACTCGTTTCACTTACGCAGCCACTCGCGATCCTCGACTCAATATCTCCATCGGTTTATGATCCACGTTTCGCGAGCGTTTCGCGAATCATCGATCGCGTGCCACATCCATGAAAATGCATCGAACGATTCGCGTCGAATGTACGCGATTTCTTGCTTCGATTATTCCTAAAACTGCGGTAGAAATTGAATTCTCAGGTAATCAAGCAATACAAATGCAAATACCAAGCGCGGAGGAGAGGGATGGAAGCATCGAATCGTCGCGTTACCGGCTGTTTCGCATTTCGAAATATTCCGCATAAATAAACAATTGACAGCTACGAATTACATCCATTTAGAATATCGATCGATCAACGCGTTGTCGCTGAACCGACCGCGTTAATAATGCACGATCTTATAGTCGATAATGCATTTCGAACCGATTACAGTATTTTTCCCTCTTCCGTTCGTGACACCCGCTTCCCGACGTTTTTCGCGATCTCTCGCTAATTTTCCAATGGCAACGATTGTTTATCGTAGATTTTTCTGGACGAGCCGTCTCGACGGAGCATCCGTTCGGTCAGAAACGCGAGCGAACTCGTCGCTGTCTCGCGTCCACGCCTTCGATCAGTGTCGCGGTTGATCAAGTGTTCGGACGATTTTAAAATCGCCACAAAGGGCGCGTGAAACTCAATTGATCGATAACGTCGACATCCGATAGATTATACTGTTTTGTCGTTTTGTATTCACCGCGAAACATTCGTACCGGATTTCAAGTTTCACCCGCATCCCGCTCACCGATTCGCTAATCAAAGCGACAATTTGTAACGCTTCGAAACGGTATCGGCTAATTTGTCAACGTGAAAGGTAATAACGCTTCCTGTTGTATTATGCATCGCGTACGATCGTCCGTTGACGGACTGCTAGCCCATTGCCGTTCGAAAAGAGGACATTTCGCGTGTGACATTTCGCGAAATTTCAAAGTTCCCTCATCTGATATCCGCTTTTTGCTTCACCATTATTTTACTCGATCAAATTCTGTCCATCCAAGGCGACACCGTGTTCGGCAATCTGTTAGTCGTTGTTGAAAGACAAAAATTCGTAGCTGGAAATTTCGTCGCGACGAAAAGGGAACACCGTCTTCGAGGGACGCGTGAAAGCGCTCACCTTCCGCAAAAGCGAGCTCGAAGCGGCTTTTGTGCGATTCACGGGGTTGGTTACTAGTGTACGCGTAACACGTCAATGACATTACCAGGCCAAACACGACATTTCACTCTTGTGACGCGCCGATAGCGTCGCACAGTTTGCCGGGATTCGTTTAATACGATTCAAACGAAAGTTAGCAAAGTTGGTCCGGTAACCGGTGTCGTCTGTACGAACCGGCACAAAGTCGTGAATCGCTCTACTTCTATCCGAAAGTATAACTTTCAGCCGGGAGCTTAACGCACGGAAACGAGAAACGACGAGGACGAATCGGGGAAAAAGTACACGCGATTACCTCGCAAACTCTCGCGAGTTCGAAGCCGTAGAAACGGAATGAGGCGAGGTGGTAATGGGAACAATTTTCAGCAGGTTTTGTTCACGTTCGATCGACACGAAGAATCGCTTTCTAGCGGGTCGTTTAAGCGCGACGAAGCGAGGCGGGTTGCGTCGAGGAAAGAAGTTGGCCGCAGCCTACTAAAAATTCAAAACGCGAGCGAATTTCCCCGGGAATAAATTTCCAAGTTTCCCCCTGGGCGAGAACAGCCGAGCAAATACGCCACGGCGGGCTTATCCAACCCCGGCCCCTGCACGAACGAGAAAGTTTGACGCATTGCCGGCGAATAAACCGAAACGATTGTTACGCAACGTTTCCGCGAAAGAAAGGGTAGAGGGAGGAAAGAAGTTTGTAAGGAACCTGGGGCTGCGTTCGGTGCATACTACAAGATGTCCCGTGCAACTCGAGCAACTTATATTATTAAAATAGTTAGATAAGACTAAATCGAATAGAATCGAGTTGTACACCATGTACTAACATTGAAAAATCGCGAGAGAACGGCACGTATCGTTACATTTTGAACACGTTCTTTCCTTTCAGCTGGTGTTGTTCGTCGCGTGCTGGCATCGACGATAGACTATGAATAATAGTCAATCCAATACAACGACGTAAGTAACTGATATTAAAGTATCGCGCTTGGTGAACGAGGTTCACGCGATACCCTTCCATGTAATCCTGCTCTGAGGTATATTTTTCAAAAAAATAACGATATTCGGTGAAAGTTTCGAGTTGAAACAACGTGACGCTCAGCCAACGATAACCCTGTCGTCAGAAGCTGATGGAAAAGAATGCCTGTCGTCGCCTCGAGGAAGAATCTCGCAGCTGCGGAGACAAAGCATGTCATTGACTGCCGTCATGAACCATCGAAGAGGTCTTCTCGGGTAATATAACAGCTCTCGTTTCCTAATTTTCCCTGCATCGAACGCGAAATACGCGCGATTTACCATGTTTCTCGGGTTAATAACGTAGCCGAGTTAAAATACGAAATATATGTCTCGCGTGTGGTCAACGTGAAACGTTGCAACGCAAAAACCGTATAATTTCACAATCATTGAATTCAGTTTTCGACGTGAAAATATTTTCGACGCGACGCTCCAACGGTTTTATTTCAATTTATATCAACGGGAGTATCGGCGCGAGAGTTATACGCTGGACACGGTTAAATGCTCCCGATGTGCATCCTAAACGCGCAAATGAAATCGTACCATAGATGTTTTAATCAGTCCTCGGAATAAAGGCAGATATTAAACACAGAATGATCAAACATGCTCGTTCTCGTCGATAGAGCATTGATTTCAGGTATTGGCAGCAACATGTCGCTGCCCTCTTGCATCCCCCAAGACCCCGAATTCATGGCCGGACAAATGGGCGTGGCGAAAACAGTGATGCTAAATAATCAAAGTCATTCAGAGAAGAACGATCGCGAGGCTCAAAAACATCGATCTAATTATCTGCAATTAACACCCGTCAATGCAGTTTGCGTTCCTATGCACGCTTTGGACGCTGCAAAAAGTGAGTGCATCTTCGTCGCAAAAGTGAATATCGAGTCGGGTTAAAGGGCGTACGTTTAATCCTTAGGTAAACAACAGATGATCGATCAACAACTGAAGCCATTGGAGAGGAGAAAATGCCATCGGGAAATGGTGTCGATCATGAGCACCCTTTACGCGAAATTACTGATAGTAATTGGAATCGCTGTGCCCGTCACGGCCAGCGTCACTGAAAGAGTTCCGGCTTTTTTGAATCAGGTCTGTAACGAAAGACGTTCGTTAATATTCACTTACAAATGTGAATAATTTTTCACGAGGTTGTTCAAAGTGTAAAATCATGTTTCTCTGTGCAGGGATTTTACTTGTATCTCTATTTGATCAGTGTCACTTACGTGATCGCGATGTACATCATGATGTTGAGGGATAAAACCTTGAAGAATCTGCTGCAGAAGAACGAGAGAGAACAACAGACTTATGCGTTCGATGAGAAGGGTGATCGGGTGAACGTGAGTCAGGTAAAACAATATTTATTTTACGTAACAGAGTTATAAAAGCTTTATCTTTGTCAAGATTCTCGTGTAAAGACCTTGCCGACTTATGCAACCGGCTCGTCGAATCAGAAGCCAATTACTTGTCGCGAAATAATTTAAACAAAACAGTTTCCATCGAACGTGCTGATTCGAGGTTTTTTAATTAGCACGGTGAATTCAGCTACGCGACACGTACAATGCAATCTTTGTCCCTCAGATGCAACAGTACGGCAGCTTTTGTCTGAGACTCGGTGCTGTGGGATTTGGCGCCGGCTCGCTGGTATTTACAGGATTGCAAATTGGGGCGGAAATAGCTTCCGGCCCGTTCAGAGCGATTACACCGGGCGCCAGGCTGCTGTTGGTCACGGCCCAGATGCACTTCATATTTCTCAACAGTGAAAGTCTCAGTCTATCCAAGCACAACGCTCTCGCGAAATTAGGCCTGATGCATATGATCGCGACCAATCTCTGCGAATGGTTGCAGGTAACTCGTAAAAGCTTTCATCGCAAACAGAAAAGGATTCGCATGAAAGTATATAAATTTCAGAATATAAATTAGCTTCTCAGCGATGAAAATAGTAAATTAAACAAAAATAGGATATCGAATATCATCGCGGCAATTTTAACGATCTTTATAATTCAAACGCGGTGTCGATTAACCGCGACCAACATTTATCAAAGTCAAACGAGATATTTAATATCCATATCCGTGGAAACGTATCCCGTTCGACAGAGACTCGTATCCTGTTTCCCGGGAAAATCGAAGTAGCCGCTTATCGGGGAGACCGTTCCAGGTCGACGCGAAGCTTTTGATCCGTCGATGCAGGAACGCGACGAACATTTAACGACAATTCCAGCTTTTACTGTCGCGTTCTGGATTCTGCGTGTGTCGTCTTGAATCTTTCACACTCGCTCTCAGGCATTCCGTTTGTTTTCCAAGGCGCTCGTCGAGGAGACGCAACACGAGATCGACCAGTTGGGCCATACCCACGACGACGAGGACGGGATTCTAGCGTCTCTTCTCAGAGACGCTAGCCCCTTCCTTTTTCCTTGTACAATTGAATTCAGTTTAATTTGCGCCGTGATACTGTTCGAGATGTGGAAGAGGGTGGACGAGACGATCGATTCAAAGAACGAGAGCCCAACGAGATCTTCGTATCATCTTAGCATCGATTGCAGCAGCTCTCACAGGTCCGAAATTTGATTAAATCGATAGAATCGTCGTTAATTTGTTAATGCGACCTTCGGTTTTATGTCCGAAACTTTCTCAGAGGTCTCTTCGGTGGAATCCTCGTCGTCGCAGCGACGATACTTAGCCTGATCATGTTCTTCGTGTTGAAAGAGGCTAAGAACCAAATAGCGATCGTCCAGGTGACTGCGTTGGACGCGACTATACTGATGTTAGGTAAAAGATATCGCTGTTTCGCGTTATGCGCTTGAAAATTACTGAAACAACTATTGAAATCCTAGGAATGATGGCTTCGGTGGCTGGAACATTGAAGTTGCAGGCGTTGCACCAGAAAATTATCAAACCATCGGATTTGGATACGACTTTATTAGCTGCGGCTCAGGCTGGAGTCTATCTGCATTGTCTATTCGGAGTTGTTGGTGATGTTCTAACGATGGGTCCAACTTGGATACTGTCGTTAATCACAGACCTGTTAGCCCTGATACAGAGCACCAGCCAAACTTTGCTCATTAAAGTAAGAAAAAGAATGACTCATCTGTTTTAAAGCGAACCGTGATATCGAATGTTTATTAATTATACGAATGCCCAGATCGCCTGGGGAAGACGTTGCTCCAGAAACGACAAACCGGGAAAGGAATTAATCACCTTCCTGATAGTTGTCAATATCGCCCTGTGGACGGTGAATACGCTGGAGAAATCTCGTGCAGGCGTTCGCCCGGACCACCTGAGATTCTTTGGTGTCTGGGCTTGGACGATCATTACCCACGTCTCCATGCCACTGGCTATATTCTATCGATTTCACTCGGCCATCTGTTTATTCGAAATATGGAAAACGTGTTACAAGTGCCGATCAAACAGCACCGTCCAGAGCCCCTACTGATCCGTCATGACTAAATTTCGTTCTTGTAAATTGTATAATAATTCAACGATACGAATAAACACACTTTACCTGACCCTTTATCGTCAAACAAAATAAGTCAAAGGCTAGAACGAAGCAAAGGGAAATTGCGTTACCCTTCGACCTTCCTTTCAATTACCAATCTATTTTAACAGCGAAGGAAAAAGAATGTGAAAGAACAGGAAAAAGCAAGCGATCCTTGGCAAATAACAATGTTAACGTTGTCGTGTAAGGCGAACTTGGTCACAGTGTCTGCTAGCTAGCCGCAACATGGAAACTTCTAAGCTGGCGGCGGAGACAAAGGGTAAAAGGGACGCTTCAAAGCGTCGTGGTGGACGGCGACGCGATACCATACCGTGCCGTGCCGTGCCGTGGCCGTCGTCGAATCGATAAAGGTGCGTACTTTTATCGATGTACACGGAAAAGATAGAAGAGGGGTAACGACGATGGCGGGCGTCGACAGTTTGATACGGTTTACGGTAAACACATTTCGGTTGCAATCACATCACCGGGCAAGCAAGCCTCGCTGCAACGAGAAGTAGGTGATGCTTCGATGGTTGGAGAAAGCGAGCAAGCTAGCAGAGCGGTCGGTGAAGAGCTCTTAGCCAACCCTTTGTTGCTCCTGCCACCGCTATTGCTCCCCTCACTCACTCCGCTGCCACCCTAAACGGAGTGGAGGCTGTACTCTTGACCAAAGGCCTCTGATTTACTTAGCCTATCGAGTGCTCTCGGACTCGTCCACCAAGAATACCGTGCACGCGGCTCGATCGTACACGTTGTGTTCCGAAATTTCCAACTTAATGCTCCACTTACTGTCCGTTCACCTACCACGTAGAGATCTCGAAGTTTCATTGCGGGACATCGTGTAAATAAGTTTCTCTACACGAGGAAAATTGGCACGCCATGAAACCGACTGTTTTTATACGTTATTTTTCCTTTTTATCTTCTATTTCTCTTCGTTGATATCTGATAATGATCGAAAAAACACGCAGAAAGTACGAGATAATCGTTTGGAAGGATTTAAAAAAAGTCACACATGAATCATTGACAAAACAAATGAAAAATGGAACGTGTTGGCAGCGTATCACAACGTTTTGTTTTTTTAACGGATTTAACGAGGATTTACCGTTCTTACTCCCTGGCTAGGCGAACTACCACTACAACTGCAATCTACGATACACGCCTAGAAGAGATCTCTCGATGTCGAAGAGGAGAAGAAATCTTAGATTTTCTATGTTGACTGGATATCTCCGAGACGGTAACACGAGTCCAGGGTAGTTTCCAAGAATTTATTCGATACGATCGCTGCGTGTTCTCGTCCAATGAAATTCACATACTCGTCGAACACGTACGTTGCATTCCATGATACCTAAGCGGATTCATTATCAAACTTGAAGCTACTGTATAATTGTATAAATGACTGAACAATGAACAACGAGTCATCTATTGACGATAATAGTTATTATCAGCTTGAATCAACGACGCAATGAAGATATTGATTATTATCGATGATGAAATTATTTATAGCGACGGTGCCTTGAAAGCGAAATAATCGAGGACTGAATAAATTCGCGTCAAACGTTGAACACGCGTTTTCTCGTTGACAAAAAAGAACGGACAAGACGGTTATACTTGTACTTATGGCCGGCCACAGGAAAATCTCGCAATTTATCGGGTTTACCTACACACCGAGCTTCGGTAGCCGTGTATGATTCTAAAGTCCGCGATGGGTAAGGGAAGTAGTAGAAAAGGAGGAAAACGCGACGCGACGGCGACGGGACGAGGAAACGTTGATATATCCGCCAAACACAAGGAGCTAGAACGTCTGGGCGGATTTATCGGTGCTGGCGGATAATGGATGGTCTTCCCCGCATGGAAACTTTTTTAAATAATATAACGTGCAACTAGCGGAAGCGCCTCGATTCCACGGCGATTCGAAATACGCTTATACCAGCTGGAAGGAAAGCTTCTCCCTCTCTTTGCCCTCCCTGTAAATACAACGGGAAAATAATCGTCCATCGAAAGAAGCGGTAATAGTCGGTTTCTTCTCGTCGATCACGAGGACGAGGAGGATGAAAACGTATCGATACGTGAAATCGTGTAGCGTTCGAAACAAAATTATCTCGTCGAGAACGTAGCGTAAAGGAGCCATGCGAAGGGTCAACGGCGGTTCTCTTTCCCGACCCAATTACACGGGGCTTTAATGAATTTTCGATATGCTGGCTCCGCTATATCACGGCGTGTATCGATAAAAAAAAATCCAGTGCATACAAGTAAATTATTCGATAGTAACAAGGGGTCGAAAGAAATGACAGGAAGCATTGACAGAGCAACCAGCAGACAAAAACCAGCAGTGCAGATAGGCGATTGGACGATCCGCGGGAATGTATTTAATTCGATTGGACTCTCCCGCCATCTGGACGAAACAAGGAGGGAAAGAGAGGTCGAATGGGCGACTCTTGTTGCAAGGGTGAGGGAACCTCTGTTTCCGCCGGAAATGAGACCTTCGCGACTCATACCCCCGTCCTCTACCCCTTTTACTTCCTCCTAAATGCCCTCCCGAGCCTCCTTAACGTCCACCCTCTTGTAGTCGCTACCCTAACCGAACCCTCCATCGCCCTCTATCTCGAATACTCGAATGCAAATCGTACTTATATTTTCATCTCGTACGGCCAGGTAAATATTTCAAACGATCCCGGGTACGTACGTGTATCGCTCGAAACTCGTTTTCTGAAAATCATTGAAATCCACCTGTCAGATTATATGCTCTCATCCCCTCGTTTCACTACTCGCTGCCGACCATCCACGGCTCGTTCTGTACCCGACCACCTCTTTTCAAATATTTAAATTATAAATATTTACCGATACTGCGAAACTGCAGTTCGAACTGTACGCACGATTGAAAATAGCAGAAGAACTTCGTGAGCGATATTATCATCGTCGCACGTTTATTGCGATTTATTGAAACAGAAATCGTGTGCCGGGAAATTAATATTTAAACGAAATCTATTTCTATGATATCGTGTTTTCTCTCATCAGAAGAGAGAGGAAATTTAATAATAAAAAATAGAACAAAAATGTAGGGGTAAAGAAATGTAGAGGAGGAAAAATCAAAAAGGTGGAAGGGCTTACTAATGCCTCCCTCGCAGCTCTAGTGAATGTCGCTTGGTCTCCGAGGATGTAATTTTCGCTGTATGCCCGGATTAGAAGCCAGCTCGTCGGGCTCCACGTTATACCGCTTGATAAGTATTGCCTCATGCCTCTTGAATACACTAGAACTGGAAAAGGGATTTGAGATGATCTCAAAGCGATCGATTGGCCTCGACGTGACGTCACGGGTCACGGCGATAGGCGGCTGTTGTGTCTCGTTAAGAATCCACGTACCATAATAGCGCGGATTAATGATAAGAGCGTAAGGGTAGGACAGCCGTGTAGCTTGCTGGAACGTAAAAGCTATTATTACAATACCTGCAGTTGCTTTTTCAACGAGATTGATATTGCTTTGCACCTTGAAATAAAAAATCTTTAACAGCTTTCACGAAGACATAAATCCTGAGGAACCAGTTTTATGCTAAACCTTTAGTTTTATAAATGTTAAAACATTACTCAACATCGCATTACGTACTACAGTGAAACCCGATATCTATTTAAAATATAAAATTGCTGATGGAAAGAGTGGATTACGTGAGTTCGCCGTTCTTCGAGACGGGAAGGACAAAACTTTTGCTAGATGGTATTTCTTAAAATCAGGTAAGCGGATCATTGGAAGTTTCGGTAAAAAAAAATCTCGCGGAAAAATGTACCGATGTAAAATACTGGCTGTAATATCCAATTTCAAATAATGTTGCAAAATGATCATGCTCAAAATAGGTTTACAATTTTTATTATTAAACCAAAGTAAGAGAAAAAGTAACATTCGATCAGAAAGATCTAAAAGAAAATGGTAAAGTTGGATGAAGAAACTGATACATATTTTATAATCTTTGTTTATTTGAGCCCTTAAGACTAAAAGTTACATTGTCATATAATGCATAACCGACAGAATAAGAAACTTTGAGTAAGTTGGGTTTAGTACCTGTTCTTCCAACTCAATACATGTAGCAACATAAACGCGATAATGCTCGGGCAATAATATCCTTAACACTTTGTGTTCTGAAGCCGATTTTTTTATTCTTCATTCCCGAATGGCTGCTACAACACTTACAAACATGATACTGATGTGTTTGTATCCATGTAAGAACAAATTGGTTTTTTTTTGTCTTTTATTCACACATAGTTAAACTTGCGTCGGCTTTGACATTCTGGATGGTTCTGATATCTGCGGCAGCTGGACGCATTCCGCTAATGACCGTATCTAAAACAAACAAATTAAATTTTACTTAGAAAATATTGTACATACAGAAGAACTTGAATCAACTATATGAAAATGTTTTGTGCTTTTTCTACCAACACACAAACAATTTTCAAAAGCTCTAAGAAGCCAGTAGTGTATTGTTGTATGATGTAGATTGTACTCACTTCTGGAACTCCCACTCTCGATTGTCTAGTGGACAAACTTGTCGAGTCTTCAACCAACGCGAGATGCAATGGAAATGGAATGCATGCTATGCGAAAACAAATGTCAAAAATTTTAAATAAAAAAGTTAAAGTATATCAGTTATGCAATCGATACTAAATGTGTATGTAACATAAACCATAAGAAGAAGATGCATACATTGCATACACCCCAAGCTACAGTACATTCCTCACTGGTGGCTGATGCTTGATTTGCTTGACATTCAATACATAAGTCCATTATATGATTACGACAGATTGCGCAATTATCTACTACAATATCTGTAAAATAATAAATTCCATAATTAATGAATAATCCTGTAAATATAATACTATAATAACTTTGGTGAATTTGGTGGAAATACATTATTGCAATAAAACTTGTAATACATACCCCATGCCCAAAGAGCCACAGCATTCCACTGAAATGATACAAAATTCAAGTTATTGATTACAGCGTAAATATAAACCATGCGAGTACAGTAAAAATGACAATGCAAAAAATGAGGTTAGAGTTTGAAAATCAAAGTATTAAAATTAGAAGAACTTGTATATATTCGGCAAAACACTTCTCTTAGCTCTTCATTTCACCTTTTTTACTTCAAAACGTTTTTTCTCTCCTTTACTACTACTCGAAGTTGGTAAATCGTTTTCTTCATCATCAATTTCCATTGCCGACGCCATATTTAAATTTTGATGTTTAAAGCCAACTGACACCTCGTGTCAGAGACTCGAAATACAACGAACAGCTAGCATGTAAAGTACATATTTTTCTAATTATTAATTATTTTAAGTATATTATGCATTGTTATACTACAACAGAGGTGCTGTTGTAATTGGGTGTTGGAAAAATGCTTGTAAATCAAAGTGTAAATTGTATGAAAAATTTACTATTATGTTAGTGTATCAGTACTAGGCTATGTTATTAGAACTCTTGTTCGACTTAATATGACAGTTACTTCGATCATTTAAAAGTTGGAGCAAATTACCTTAATTTTGTGCGTATATAGTTTTCAATTATTGTTCGGTATTCTCTTAAACGTTATAAAATATATTACACAATGAGACGAAAGGCAGGCGTTGGTGCAATTCAAAAACAAAAGCTGGAGAAAGAAAAATATAAAGATAAGGGGACAGAGATTCAAGAGAACCAGTTTGAGCAAATGACAAAACACATGGAAACTTTTCGCGTTAATTTAGAAGAGTTTGCAACAAAGCATAAAAATGAAATTAAAAAGAATGCACGTTTTCGACGGCAATTCACTGAAATGTGTGCCTCAATTGGTGTGGACCCTTTAGCCTCAGGAAAAGGGTTTTGGTCTGTCCTTGGCATAGGAGACTTTTATTATGAGCTAGCTGTACAAATTGTAGAAGTATGCATGGCAACAAATTATAAAAATGGTGGATTGATCTCATTAGATGAACTTAGAACAAGATTAATACAAGCAAGAGGTCGTAGAAAAGAACATCAAGAAATAACAAATGAAGACTTATTGGCTGCAGCAAAAAAACTAAAAATTTTTGGAAATGGATTTTCTATTGTTCCAATTGGAAGAGGCAAACACCTGGTACAATCTGTTCCTGGTGAACTAAGTATGGAACATACTGCTGTGTTACAGCAAGCTAGTTTATCTGGAAATGCACATATTTCAAAGTCGATACTTTGCAAAGAGTTAAAGTGGGAACCAGATCGTGCACAAAAAGCCTTGGACCATATGGTAAAAGAAGGACTAGCATGGTTAGATGAACAAGGAGAAAATGAAACATTGTGTTGGTTTCCTAGTTTGTTCACAGCTTGTATTGTATCCACAGAGTAAGCACTTAATTTTATTATAGATAGATAGGTATTTAAAAAACAAAAAGTATATATGTGGTATGAAATGTATTTTTAATGTGAATAAACTTAGAGATGTTATAATATTTACATTAAGAAACATACACTGTAAGGTTTTTGTAAATAAAAGAAAATATTGTCACCTAATTTCATTTGCTTCATTAAATCTGAAAAGAATATTTAACAGTCATTATATCAGTTACTATATACATACATATAGTAAATACATACCTTTGTATGCTATGTATTGCATCTTGTGCTAATTGTTGCTTGCAAGTTAATAATTCAGTTTGTAATTCAGTATTTTCTTTTTGTAATGCATTTATTTTGCTTCTTAGTTCCTTAGTCCTTCTTTGAAATTTAACTGTTAGAGATTTTGCCTCGTCTCTCCATCTAAAGTAGAGTAGTGTAAATTATTTTAATTGTTCATATATATACCTACATGTATAAAATTTTCATACCTTTTACTTAATTTCTGATGAACTTGAACATGATAAACTAATTCTTTTGTCTTTCTATCAAACTTTTCCTGCAATTTATTCATATGATCTGATAATACTGATTGACAACAGTTACATTTATTTTCCACCCTGAAATAGAATCGTATACAATACCACTTGAAATATTAGAAAATTTTATGTACTTACATTATATCGAATGTGCGTTTATTTTTTACATCAGAAACGTTCACTTCATCGGCCACATCATCTCGTAACTTATTGTCCTTCATACAACTCGCCTTGTGATGATTAATTTCTAATTCTCGAATTTTATTTTCGAGAGAATGTCTTTCATTATCTCTTTTTTGCATTTCATAATCAAAATCATACTTCAATGATTTTAATTGTAACACAACATCTTCTTTGTCGCCTAGCGTTTTAGCTAACTGACTCTCCAAGTCTGAATATTGTTTCATTATGTCTTTATTTTCGCGATCAGCTCTTTTCGCTTGATCTTCTATAGTATTAGTTTGTTGTTGTTCTAATTTTTGTAATTTATCATTCGAAGTCGCTAGTTTATTTTCAAGAGCAGTAATTTTTTCTTTCAATTGTTTCATTTCTATGTCATATTTATTTTTACATATTGTTTCATCGTATACTTGCAACTGAAGTTCCAAACGTTTAATTTTTTGCTCATAATCTAATATCTTTGCATTCACGTCTCTTTGAACTTTAATTAATTCTTCTTCAGTAAATTTTAAATCTCTCTGAACTTTTTCTACTACCATTGTTTTCTCCTTCAATTCTGCTTTAAGTTCTTTAATTTCTGTTAAATATCGTTTCGTATGTAATTCAATCTCATCTTTGGTCTTCATATTTAATTCTTGTATTTTTGTATCATATTCACTTGCTATTATATTTAATCGATGTTCTAATCGGGCTTTTTCTTCCAAAATAAGCGATTCGCGGTGAACTACCATATCTTTCTCCCTCACTGCAGATTCTATCAGTTCAATAGCTTCTCCCATTTTAGTCTTTGTTTCTTTATCTTTTTCCATTATATTTTCCGCGTATCTCTTAATTTCATGTAACTTTCTCTCCAGTTCCATTTTTACTTGCACCATTTTGTTAGCCTCTGTTTTAGCATAAGCCAATTCCTGTTTTAATGTCTCTATTGCCACCTGATTATTCCTGTCTTTTAAAACATAAAAATAATGTCTCCATTTGTTGCAGAAAATTATAACCATGTAATACTGACCTTTATCTTGAGCATCCTTTTGTAAACTGTTCAATTTTTCCAAAAGTTCATGTTTCTCTTTAGTTAAATGCTCAATTTTTTCTTTACTGGTGTGATACAGTGTTTGATGTTTCATAAAATTCTGTTTAGTCTGTGAAAGTTTCTCCTGCAACATTTTAATAGCTTCTGAATAACTTTCCTTCATAACATTTGCTTGTTCCTGATAAAATTTTGTTCCTTTTCCATCTGCACGAAATTTTTTTAATTCTTCTTCTAAAACACTTATGGTATTTAATGAAATATGCCATAATTGCAATGCTGAATTCTTTTCTGTTTCTAAAAGTTCAATACGCTCTTGTAAATTTGCTATTTCTAGCTTATGTAAATCTTGATCACTACATTCTTCTAAATGAATATTATTAATAGATTCTCTAATATCATCAGCCTGTTGGCTCTCATTTCTTAAAATTTCTAATTCAGTTCGTATATTATTTTGTTCTACCTGAAAACAACAAAATCAACAATACAGGTACAATAAATCATGAGCATGATGCAAACCTTGCATAGATGCAAATCCTGTTTGAGGCCTTCCACGATTCCATAGTATTCTTCAAGTATTATATCTCGTTCATCAACTCTAATGAAAACAAATTATTCAAATATGTTTATGGTAAATAGGAAAAACAGCAATGTATACCGCAGTTCACCAGAGTCCATACCTGCGACGCGCAGGTTGGAAGATGGTGGGGGAACGCAGCGAGCTCTCTGCTAATCGCTTTCCACTTCGTTTGGGAGTATCGCCAATCAGGGCAAAGATGCGCACTGGAGAAGCGCGAAGAACGAAAACTGGTCTTTTCGCAGTTATGGACTCTGGTGAACTGCGGTATAGCAGAATGTATAACCACAAAACTAACCCCTCTTTTTGATTATCCCCTTGCTCTGCGTCGAGCATTTTAACGCTAAATAATTTATTTCGTAATACTGCGTTGAGCTAAGAAACATTATGAAAATACATTATACGTTTAATTTATATTTACAACGTTTTATGCTGTGTTTCAAGCAGTACATTAGTAACATTACTTATTTCTGACACGTAAATAAACACGGTGATGGTAGTGTTGAAAACTTTACCGACAGTCCCTAGAAAAATCCCTAGAACGTAGAACACACCTGCATTGATTTATTCGTAATATAAACATTTCTGTGAATCGTATGTCCAAATAGGGACTAGATTAATATTCTTTGGGTCGGATAGAATAAAACGAGCACCCAAGGGATGATGTAAGTACAAGTCTCCAGGTAGAAGTAATTTGAAAACTACGATTTCGTAGATGGTTCACTCGCGAAAGACGTCAACAAGGTAAAACAGACCAGAAATTTAGTTTCTCGTTCATTCTGTAGGGCGCAGTTTGTTCGTTTGATTAATAAACAATTGTATAATTAAAAATAATAATTAAATAATTTTTAATAAAATAATTAAACAAAATTTTGCAATATACCCAGGCGGAAATGTAAAGAAATAAACAATTTAAATAGATATAACAATAATTTGATTAATATGCAATTGTAAAACATAAAATAATAATTAAACAAATATTAACAAATATCAGATAGAAATAGTTAAATCTGCGGAACCGGTGAAGCGGAACGCCATGCTTGATTGCGCGCGCCGCGCGTCGGTACAAGCGCGACCTGAAGAAAGGTCAAATCTAGTCAGTCTTATCGCAACCGCCGAAGGATAGGGATGGAGCTGCCCAACATATTCCGGTACGGGTTGACACTATGGATATTTGTGCATGGATTTATCAGTGTGTTACCACAAGTGTTACTGTGTGTGCCTATGGTGTTTCCTATAGTGTTTCCCTTGTGTTTTGGAATATTTATACGGATATATTAGTGCGTCTTATGGTGTGGTCACCCATGTGTTTTGACATTTTTATACAAGTGCATTAGTGTGCTGTGTGGTGTGGTACCCCATGTACCTGCATGTGCTTTATTGTGTTTTATGGTGTGGTTTCCTTTGTGCTTTGGCATATATTTACGGATTTATTAGTGGGTTTTATGGAGTGGTACCCTATGCGTTTTGGCATATTTATACGGATTTATTAGTGGGTTTTATGGAGTAGTACCCTTTGTGTTTTGACATATTTATACGGATTTATTAGTAGGTTTTATGGATTGGTACCCTATGTGTTTTACTATAATTTTGCAAATATTTTATAGTGTTCTATGGTTTTGATCTTCGAGTGTTTTGGGATGTATTTGCATGTGTTTTACCGTGTTTTATGGTGTAGTTATTCCCATATAGTTTTGCATGCATATTTTTGAATTATCCTATGTATTAGCATATTAACTACAACAAATTGAGAGAAAACATATATCGTTCAAGAATCGTGATTTTTATGCTTTCAGATGCTTTGGCCAGTAGGGATACCGTTTCTTTGACGAGCCATCTTAATCTTAACAATAAGATGCGTGGCGAGTGCAGTAGTGCAAGTCAACGATCGGTGAGTCGCATGCTTTAAAGTTCCTCCGGTTCCCATCATGTCGTAGGACGAATGGTCCGTAGCGACACGGGAATTGGTTGTAATTTTTATTTTTTGAGCGAGCATAGTGACCCACGAATATCATTGTATCATTTTATACAACGATAATCGTGCAAATTGCTTTTTTGTGTATTTTATGCCTTAGCTCAGGATAGGGGTTTCTTGTACATACTTACATGTATAGATTTCGAGTTTAAAAATGTAGAGAAGTCGGATGACCCTCCGACTTCACAATACATTTTCTTTTTTATATGTACAAGAATTTATTTCGCGATGAGTGGATTTCAATATCAAAGTAATAAGCATGAATACTATTAATTATTATAACTACTTACTTTGATAACGAAATCGCTCTTGAAATTGAAACGTTTTTCCGATTTTACTCGTGAAATTGGCATCAGTTTAGTATATGGGCTGGCCCCCAGGGGGGTCAGTATTTGCTCTTCAAGCATTGTATAAAGATCCCCTTTCGTACTTGAAATTCATTCTGTCACGTTCACGGTTCTCGACCCTAAACACTCATCATTCACACTTCAGCCTCACGAATTCTATCACATAATCATTTATCCATCCGCACACTCTTGTGTAGTGAAATATTACCCCGTTAGGATTTTCAAGTTAAAGTAGTGTTGCGAAAAATTTTCAACACGAGAATAAATATTACCCCGTTAAGATTTTCAAGTTTAAGTAGTGTGGCGAAAAATTTTCAACGCGAGAGTAAATATTACCCCGTTAGAATTTTCAAGTTTAAGTAGTGTTGCGAAAAATTCCCGGCGCGAGAGTAAATATGACTATACACAGACTAGTATTCGGTGGGAATCCTTTTGGTTATTATTTGATAAAATTAGTTACAAGGATTCCGCGGCATAGGACCGTGAACACCACCTCATGGGAGATAAAACCATGCATTACTAGGCCTTTGCAGGCACAGCCATAGAGTACGGAACATTTAAGTATGTTGCAACCCATACGCTAAGCTGTCTTAAAGTCCTTTTGCCTATACTATTAGCGTCCACCACTCGGACACGTTGGATGCAACGTGTTCGATGGGTGGGTAGCGCTCTTAGCGAAGGGGTGCACCCTGCCTGGGCCTAGAGCCTTAAACAGGCGGGGTGGGTGGTATGTAGCGTCGGGCGTAAGTCCAGGGGGCCTAAGAACCTCCGTTGCCAGCTGATATTAGCAGTGGACGAATGTTTGAGTCATATTTGCTCAATTTTGCTTTTCACTATTTGCTCTTCAAGCATAATTTAAAGCTCCCCTTTAGTCATGTTGCTAGATCAGGATTTTCTATTTTAATTAGTGTTGCGAAAAATTTCAAGCGCGAGAGTAACTATGACGATGCACTTACTAGTATTCGGTGGGAATCCTTTTGGTTTTTAAACTCAATGTTTTATTTAATTAATCAAATTAGTTACAAGGATTCCGCGGCATAAGACCGTGAACACCATCTCTGGGAGATATACCCATGCATTACTAGGCCTTTCAAGGCGCAGTTTAGAATGTGGCGCACATCCATATGTTCCATTTAATAAACTGCAGTCCTTTTGCCTATACTAGGGGCGTCCGTCAATCTGACACGTTGGATGCAACGTGTTGGACGGGCGGGTAGCGCTCTTAGCGAAGGGGTGCACCCTGTTCTAGGCGGGGTGGGTGGTATGTAGCGTCGGGCGTAAGTCCAGGGGGCCCGAAAACCTCCGTTGCCAGCTGATATTAGAAGTGTACCATTTTTGCGTCATAGTTGCTCTATTTTGCTTTTCAGTATTTGCTCTTCAAGCATTATAGAAAGCTCTTCGATCATACATCAAATTCATTCTGTCACGTTCACGGTTCTCGACCCTAAACACTCATCATTCGTACTTCAGCCTCACGAACTCTATCACGTAATCATTTATCCACCCGCATACCCTTTTGTAGTGAAATATTACCCCGTTAGGATTTTGAAGTTAAAGTAGTGTTGCGAAAAATTTTCAACGCGAGAGTAAATATTACCCCGTAAGGATTTTCAAGTTTATGTAGTGTTGCGAAAAGTTTTCAATGCGAGAGTAAATATTACCCCGTAAGGATTTTCAAGTTTAAGTAGTGTTGCGAAAAATTTTCAACGCGGGAGTAAATATTACTCCATTAAAATTTTCAAGTTTAAGTAGTGTTGCGAAAAATTTCCGGCGCGAGAGTAAATATGACTATACACTGACTAGTATTCGGTGGGAATCCTTTTGGTTTTTATTTGATAAAATTAGTTACAAGGAATCCGCGGCATAAGACCGTGAACACCACTTCATGGGAGATAAAACCATGCATTACTAGGCCTTTGCAGGCACAGCCATAGAGTACGGAACATTTAAGTATGTTGCATCCCATACGCTAAGCTGTCTTAAAGTCCTTTTGCCTATACTATGGGCGTCCACCACTCGGACACGTTGGATGCAACGTGTTCGATGGGTGGGTAGCGCTCTTAGCGAAGGGGTGCACCCTGCCTGGGCCTAGAGCCTTAAACAGGCGGGGTGGGTGGTATGTAGCGTCGGGCGTAAGTCCAGGGGGCCTAAGAACCTCCGTTGCCAGCTGATATTAGCAGTGGACGGATGTTTGAGTCATATTTGCTCAATTTTGCTTTCCAGTGTTTGCTCTTCGAGCATAATTTAAAGCTCCCCTTTAGTCATGTTGCTAGATCAGGATTTTCTATTTTAATTAGTGTTGCGATAAATAACGCGAGAGTAAATATCACGATGCACTTACTAGTATTCGGTGGGAATCCTTTTGGTTTTTAAACTCAATGCTTTGTTTAATTAATCAAATTAGTTACAAGGATTCCGCGGCATAAGACCGTGAACACCATCTCATGGGAGATAAAACCATGCATTACTAGGCCTTTCAAGGCGCAGTTTAGAATGTGGCGCACATCCATATGTTCCATTTAATAAACTGCAGTCCTTTTGCCTATACTATGGGCGTCCGTCAATCTGACACCGTTGGATGCAACGTGTTGGACGGGCGGGTAGCGCTCTTAGCGAAGGGGTGCATCCTTTCCTAGGCGGGGTGGGTGGTATGTAGCGTCGGGCTTAAGTCCAGGGGGCCCGAAAACCTCCGTTGCCAGCTGATATTAGAAGTGCACCGTTTTTGCGTCATAGTTGCTCTATTTTGCTTTTCAGTATTTGCTCTTCAAGCATTGTAGAAAGCTCTTCGTTCATACTTGAAATTCATTCTGTCACGTTCACGGTTCTCGACCCTAAACACTCATCATTCATCAGTATAGTGAAATATTAGCCCGTTAGATGTTTATGTACTAGTCATGTTTTTAGATCAGGATTTTCTATTTTAATTAGTGTTGCGAAAAATTTCCAACGCGAGAGTAAATATGACAATGCACTGACTAGTATTTGGTGGGAATCCTTTTGGTTTTTAAACTCAATCCAATATTTTATTTATTTAATCAAATTAGTTACAAGGATTCCGCGGCATAAGACCGTGAAACACCATCTCATGGGAGATAAACCCATGCATTACTAGGCCTTTGCAGGCGCAGCTTTAGAATACGGAACATATGAAAATATGTTACCATATTCTAAACTGTAGTCCTTTTGTCTATACTATGGGCGTCCGTCAATCTGACACCGTTGGATGCAACGTGTTGGACGGGCGGGTAGCGCTCTTAGCGAAGGGGTGCATCCTGTCCTGGCGTTACGACGTCCAGGCGGGGTGGGTGGTATGTAGCGTCGGGCGCAAGTCCAGAGGGCCTAAGAACCTCCGTTGCCAGCTGATATTAGCAGTGCACCATGTTTTATGTCATAGTTGCTCAATTTTGCTTTTCTGTATTTGCTCTTCAAGCTTTATATTTGCAAAGTCGAGTCACTTTTATTAAAAATAAAACCCCCTGGGGGGGGGGGGCAGCCCATATACTAAATCGGAGCCGTGAAATTTCGCCGATATTCTTACTTTTAATAAAGTGAGAATATCATCTTTAGTTTTTGCTAATCATACGTTTTAGCTTAGGCATTTCAGCACACATGAAGAAAACTGGTAGGTGAAAATACCTTTGGCCTTGTTCATTTTTATGCCCAAAGCTCATTCGAGTACTTAGATGTACTCGCGTGGGTGGAGGGCGGTGAGCAAGGTTTAGTTTTAAGTGTAATACATTTTGGCGACTGACAAAAGTAGTGAACCAATAGTGAACCACGATAGAAGTTCCACATGTGTGTGTGTGGTTAGGATGTGGGATTTGTATCGTTTATTAACAATCTTAACTTCCTATAACATTACAAAATACTTATCAAGAATAAATTGAGAAATTTTTACATTAGATAATTTAATAGAATACGAAAATGAAATGTATTACTTTAGCATAATGGTCACTATTATTTGTCAGTCGATTTCAGCAAAAAGGTATGATTTTATTAGAGTGTGAAAGTTGAATTGAACTCGGGTGTCGGAGGCGTCCCGGGACGTTCTCTCTAGGTGTAGGCATTTTTGCACCCGGGTGGTTGTATGAGAACCGTGGAGTGAATTTTTGTGAGAATGATTTTTGCACTTTTTTAAATATAGCGATAGGCAGGCAGGTAGTTTACTTCTGGTGTGATTGAGTTTAGTTTATAAGTAGGCAGGGCCAGAGCAAGCTTTCATGTTTCTCTTCGTATTCTCCTCTAATACGTGAGAAGCTTGTATCTGGGGTTGGGAAACCAAAAATCAAGAGAAAAGATGAAAATGCAATTTAATTAATTTATCAATTAATTAATTTAACATTCTCTCTTGATTTTTTCAAGGCCAAGCCTTATTAGTTTGTAAGTCGTAGTCGTGGTACTAGACCCGATTACAAAAATGAAGTATTAAAGTGAAAGTGCAGTGAAGTGAAGTGAAGTGAAGTGAAGTGAAGTGAAATTAAAAAGTGTTTTGTACTTGGACATTTGCAAAAATTGTGCAGGTATGCGAGTAGCGATTCAAGGGATCGTTGCTCGTTTACGTGTTACGTTTTTACAAATGTCTGAGCAAACGTAAAATTTTCGCGAGTGATTTTTATGAGGCTATTGCCGAAGAAAGAAGAGGCTATATGCTGAAGAGCCCCGGCAAAATTTGCCCAGAAGAGGGGAACTACTAATGGCTCTCCATCTTCGGATGGACAGTCATTCTGTCACTATGCTCGCTAATTTGTTTTTTCATTTTTTGTGTTTTTCCTTGAACGGTATGAATAATACCGTCCAGGACGTATTGAACTCGACATTTTACGAGTTCAATACCCAGCTCGTTGAATGGTCAACTCGCGATTTTATTTCCCCTATTTCTTTTTCGTTTATTGCTTTATTGAAATAAATTATTCTTTTCTTATTGATTTGCACATCAATTATATTTCATGTTCTTATTTTAATTATGTTCTATTTATTTAAAACCTACCCTGAGATTGTAATGGTAATTATATATTCTGTTTCAGCATTTTTCATTTCAGTTGTAATCGAAATTATGATGTTAATTATATTTTCTATTTCAGCATTTTATTGTTGAATTATTTTTTAATTGTTACTGAAATTATGATGTTAATTATATTTTCTGTTTCAGCATTTTATTGTTGAATTGTTATTTTCTCAATTGTTTTTGATATTAGGATGTTAATTCTATTTTCTATTTCAAGATTGTATTGTTTAAATTTTTATTTTATGTTGTCTGTTTTGAATGGTTTCATGTTATAGTATATCTAATCCTAATAATTATGTTTTCCGTTACAGCATTTTATTGTTAAATTATTATTATTTTCTCAATTGTTTCTGATGTTAGGATGTTAATTTTATTTTTTATTTCAAGATTGTATTGTTTAAAGTTTTATTTTACATATGTTGTCTGTTTTGAATGGTTTCACGTTATTGTATATCTAATCCTAATAATTATGTTTTCCGTTACAGCATTTTATTGTTAAATTATTATTATTTTCTCAATTGTTTCTGATATTAGGATGTTAATTTTATTTTCTGTTTCAAGATTATATTGCTTCAATTTTTATTTTATGTTGTCTGTTTTGAATGGTTTCACGTTCTTATGATTTTAGGGTGGGTCACTAACGTAGCCACCTCCACGTGGTGTGACCTGGTAATTGATATCGTTTTCTAAAGATAACTTTTAGAAAGCGATATCAAGCTAAGAGCTACTATAAAAAGATTTATATATCTTTTAATTGGGAAACAATAGTTTAAATTCAGAAAAGTATTTTCGGGATTGCAATATTACCATATAGAACGTATAACTATAGTAATTTTATAGTTCCTGAAAAAGGAACTTGGATGATTTTTGACTAATTACAAATGACTAATTACCTCCTTCTTTTCGAAGTCGGTTAAAAATAAAATAAAAAGAAAATCACAAAATATGGAATTTAGAAAGAACGAAGTTGTTTGATACGCAATGGTAGAAAGAAATCAACCCTGACGAAGATATTTCAAGCAGAGACGTTGTACATTGGAAAGGCCATGACTTTATCCATGACTCTGGTTAGACGCCAGATCTCGCTCTTGTCCACAGAACACATAATTTCTGCTTTTCATTTGATAGAAATTCGCTACGTTGACTAACAAATATTTTTCTTATAACAATTTTCGAGAGGAATTCATTATTGAATGAAAGTAAAAATTTGCATAAATGGAGGGTGGATGGGATGAGGTAGGGCGGGTCTTCAAACCACAGCAACCTCCTCGTGGTGAGAACTGGGCAATCGTTATTATTTGATGACTAATTAATAACTGTATCATTATTTCTATGGTACATTTATTAATTATACAGCAAATAATACGAGCGAATTGGCTGCGAAATTTATGCTTTCTTTTCTATTTAATCTCTGTTATATATTTTTCAGGAACTATGCCTTTCAGATTCTGAAGTGTATCACATTGCAACTACAATTTTACGGAACGAAAATTAATAATAATGAATGTATGGTCAGTATTGTTTAATTATGTACTTATACATATAGCTATCGTAGCATACACATGTCATTTAGGTGTATGCAAAAGGTGACGTAGTATAGCATGCCGTTAGTTGATAGGGTTGATAGCATGCGATAATTGAGGTGGCGCTTAAATCAGTTTCTGTTCGGCCTAATTTTCGATGAAACGTTGACTGTTTTACCGACGCGGAATTCGAAGTTCGGCCTCGACGCTCGCATCGCCTTAAAGTTTCTTACAATTAGATTTAAATTATTAAATTTAAATAGTATAGCATATATATTTATGTTTGTAGACACATACAAGACTATTCGTTAGTTTGCACATATACATTTTTACATACATATAAGTACTTGTTTAATTAACATATTCTTTTTGTGGTTCCATTAGGTGTTTTTCTATAACCACGAGAGCAATGTTCAGGTAGTATTACTGAGTTTATTTCATGAGCTACTCCAGCTTTATTCATAATGTCACATTTTACCAGCGTTGCATCATCCACCTGAAAGAAAAGAATTTTTAAAACGGAAATATTCGTAATAAATAAACGAGTCATTACTTACCAATACTTTATTGTTCTTTCTTACTACGTTTACCATATCTCCCTTCGTCTTTAAAGTATATTGCAGGTCTGGTCTGAAACTTTCAGAAATCATCATGTTGTCCATAATGTGGTTTTTCATCACCTACAAATAAACAGAAAAATCTTGCTTTCGATTAATAATCTTAATGTTTTGTTAAGCATAATAGTACCTTCGATAAATAATTTTTATCTTGCAATAATTTTTTAAGTTTAACACTTCCCAGCCGCTTAAATGCCTCATCCGAAGGAACGAAGTATGTACATGAAGAATTCGGATGTTTAAATTGATCGTATATTTCCGGTTGGATAGCTTTGATTCTTTCCATTGCATCCAACCAAATGCTGTAAGGGTTTCAAAAGATTTTCAAAGGAATAGAAAAGGGCAATTCTATCAGAGCATTAATCATTTGTATGTTTCGAGAATTGCGCGCTCTTAAAATTGAAAAGACTTTACCGCTCAGCGCGAGATTGCACCACCAGTACTGTTTTAAGAGCGCGCAATAATATCTCTTCGAATTGTTTAGAATACCTAAAATTGCCTTTTCTCCTCAAAATATTATCCAAAGATTCCTTAGCAGGATGTAAAACGTGGTTTATAACGTGTAAAACACCGTTGGTACATTCTCTATCAGCTTTTACAATCAATGCATTCTCTATTCCAAAGTTACCTGGATATACTTGAAATCGTAAAGGATCTCCTGCTTCAAGGGTTTTAACTACCTGGAATAAATCGCGCATTAAAATTGTCTGTTCATGAATAAACTGAAACTTAATGTCCCAAAAATTACCTGATTATTGCCAATTTCATAAGTAAAATACACTCCCTTAACTGTATGACTGAAAACGAATTTCCTAGCACTTTCCTTATTTCTTTGCAATTCTACAAGCTGTTGATTTGACATAGCTGTAAATAAATATATTATTTTGCAATTAACGAAATACATTTTCAATGAATTTTAAATACGTACCATATATCGCTGTTTCGGATGGAGCGAATACCGTAAAGTGTTTCAAATGCCTCAAAGTTTCTTCCAGCTCGGCTGTTCTGATTATTTTCAAGAACGTATATACTCCTTCTTCCTTCATTAGATCCGTAATTGATTTTGCTGAAACACGTTCAGTTCGTAGTAAAACTATAGAGTATCTATTCATGTACAAATATTATTCACCTCGATCTGGAAGTAATACACGATCAAGAACGTACAACAGCCCATTTTGTCCATGGTACATCTCATTTTTCAGATTCGCATGATTTACAATTGGCCCGCGTGGACCACAATTTAACGTGAGTTTCTGTTGCTGCATGGTGGTGGCATGGTATTCCGAAATGATGTTTGGCATACACACGGGATGAGTAACAACATGATGAGCAATTAGAGCTACGGGAAAATGTCAGATCAAACAACCGGTAGGAATGTAAATGTACATTTTGAACATAATTTTGTTACCGTTTAACGCATCACGGTTTGAAAGCATGTCGTTCAATTGCCTTTGGGGAATGTTATGAAAAGCATCGTCGGTGGGTGCAAAAATGGTACACGGTATTTCATTGTATCTAATCCTCTTTGCGGTCTCACTGTTTTCGAGAGCTTTTGTAAATATCTGGAATCTACCGTCCTTTGCAACAAGATGAATGATATCTGAATTCTGTGCCAGAGCGAGGTCCAAAACCCCGTCAATTATGTGTACAACTCCATTAAAGGCAATTTGATCCTTGCGAATAATCCGATGACAATTTACTGTTTCCATCTGTGCGAATCAGAACGTTTGATGAATAATTTATATCGTTAATGTGCAACGTTGAATAGCTACTGCTTACGCCACTGGAAAATTTATTTATCCTCAAAACATTTCCCTGTAATCTCGATGGAACTAATAGATTTTCTTGCCATTGATTTGATAGCACTCGTCTATTCGTAATGTGATTAGCGATTAGATCGATGTATCTATTGCCATCGTGCAACCATTCTGCTCGAATACCCTTTATTCTTAGATAATTCTAAAAGCGATAGAAAATAATAAGCTTATTTAATCATGTTAATCCATATCGAACTTACATCAAAAGCTTCGTCAGATGGAACGAACAATGTTAGAGGTGAGCCGCTTCTTAATTCTTTCGCAAACTCCGATCTTTCTATTAATTTTGCGAATTTTATAGATCCTGCACGTCGCGCTGTTTCTATGAGGTCAATTAATGGCTTCACTGTAAAAAGACATAATAAAGTACAGGATAAAAGCTTGGTACTACGCGTAGGATTTTAAATAAATTGAATGCACTACCCCCTGTACAGCCAGAACGACCGGTGACCCTGTAATATCCTGCGCAGCATTCGTATCTGACAAATCTGCAAAGCAAATGAAGGCACTGAAGTATACAAATAAGGGTTGCTTTAAAACCAACGTGAAATTATGCTTACGTTTCCTTGCCGCAGATTTTTCGCGGATTCCACTGTTTGCTCTCGGTGTAATAACTGTAATTTATATCGTCGTTCACTTCTACGGCACACACGTTGGGTCTGAAAAAAGAACATAAATCACTTGTTAATTTGAAACAGAGTATGATTTCAATTACAGCATTAAAGTCTCACCCTTGTCTTTGTGCATCTTCAACGTTCCACCGTGGTCCTTTTTGATAAGCATAAATCGTATCAAGTACCAGGCATAAAATTAATATTTTAATTGTAATTGAATCGTACATATTTTCACTATAATTTGAGAAGATATTCGCAAAAATACGATAATCAAAAGACTCAAATGAAACCTGTTCGCTCCCACAAATGATTCTAAGATGGTTCGTACTACGACAGTTCCTATTTAAGGGTTTCACCCTTCCACCCCATCTGGAAAATATTTCCATGTTTGATGAAACAGATAATGATGCAATCTAAGGCGTTTAGAACACGTGTCATGTCACGTTTCCTACTTTTCGTGGATCATTTCCATCGAGTAAATGGTTTTGACATCTGTGTAACATAGTAGATGATGCAAATTCGTATCCACATTGTTCTATTGAAATACAAATTTAGCAAGACTTTATTGACGTTGAGATGACCTTGACAGCTTCACTGAACAATTTTTTTAATATCATTTATGAAGCAATTTTTTAATCTTTGATTTTTCTCTTTCGTACCCCGCATTTAAGTTAGAACGTTCGCCCAAGATGAGAGCTGACTTATTCTCGCATTGAACATCTGCACGATCCATAGTGAGCCCGATATTAGTCTACATATAGTCGTACGTAGCCATCGTTGCTGAAGAAATTAGGTTACCTCCCAACGGATATATAAAGGGGCCCTACAAATTGGTCCATATCCTACATGCTTTCAAAATAATCCACCATGAACGTTTCAATTCCGATCTGCATTTCTGCCGAAAGCAACGAGAACAAAACGGACGAGATCATTCTCCATTGTGGTACATTTAACGACGGACCCCATCGCGATCGCGTACAGTTCACTCTGTTAATTCGATAAACAGAATCTCCATGTTAACGTGACAACTGATTTTGCATACATTTTCGTTGATGCAGAATCACTTTCCGTGATTCTGTATGTTGGTCAAGGCTGAAGAGATCTTAACGATCATCTCGGACAAGAGAAAACGATACGCATCATTCTCTTCACTGGTCACAATCGCGATTTACTCTTCAGCCTGGCAATGGAGAGCAAATTAACGTGTTGCTTTTGATTCGATGGAAGCAGGTCTTCCAAACAGCACGTGCATACAATAGGTACGCCTACAATCTTTCTATCGAGTGTACTTTAATTCTCCGACTCGTTAGCTTGCAAATACGTGACGACGTATTAAGTTGTTACAAACTCGATTAAAATCTGCTCTACAAATGGGTATCAGCAAATAATTGCCCATGTACGTTGAAAGCAATACGCCGGTCTCCGAGAGTGTCAAAATCATCATTTATCTACTCAAATCAAATATTCCCATGTACTATATAAAATATGACTTTTGGCTTTTATAAGACAAAGAAACTAAAGAACGATTGGAAGGTGACATCGTTTCGCAATGCGTGACATATGTAACACGTATTTCAATCACACTCCGTGGGGGGTTGCACGTCAAGGGATGAACCGTTCTGGTTCTCCATTTAGAGCAATTTATCCGATGCCGTGGACCCAATAAAGACGGATCTATTTCTATGAAACAGACTCGCGTGGTACACATTTTTCTCCCTTCTGCTTATTCAGTGCCGTGCGACCCGTTGTGATGAGTGCCCTCTTCCTGTAGCCGGCTGTCTCTTTCGCTCACTGACATGTCTCCCATTCCCCCGTCAGTGTTCACCCTCCGTCTCCTCGCGAGCTCTAATCAGCTTCCTGGATGGGGCACATTATCTACGTGATGGCAGATCGTAACGACGCGATACCTAGCCAAGTCCCGGGGATTCGATCATACGGTAGTAGTCGCTCGGCAGTGGTCCATTGCGCGTAAAAGACCTGCCAAGATCCACGGTTACGGATGTCACTTAGCTCGTTATACGATTCTATCGTATCAGTTCAGTGATCCTGAAACGGTGCATCGGTTACCCAGGGATTCAGGTGCGACCATATACGGGAAAACGAATCTTTCGCCTTTCGGTTTAGGTGTTGATTTGTTCAACGTTCGTTAAGAGCAGCTTTTTACTTGATTTATTAAGAAACGATTTGATGAGACAACTATAACGTTCAAGTATCAGCTAGCATTACGATAGAACGAAAGTATGAAAATCAAGTTTCTAATTGCAGCTTAAAATCCTGATCGAATCGGAGTTTGATGATCAATGATAATTTATACGGTGATGATACGTGGAGAAGTAGCTGTCGTAGGGATGAAGGTCGCGGGATGATAGAGAAGAAATCTTCCACGATCTTCCTCGTGCCCAGAGGAAGGCTCTACAGGAATTCTTAAAGCGACGTGTTGCACCAGATCAACGAATAATGACGTTGGGGCAACGTATATCTGGGGCCGTCGCGGTCCTCAGGGGCACTTCGGAAGTTAAAGCTACCACGTAAGACCTATTAATTTCTATATCTTTTTAAACTGTCTTCTAACCGGGACCAATTTCCAGATCAACTTCCGACGAGATCGAGAAGATAACTACCGTGGACGAGGAGAAAGTTCGTCAACAGGCGTCGCCACTCGACAGACTGCAGGCAGTTAGTAATTATATGGCTTGTTAAAATTTTCCATTACGCTTTACTAACGTTATTTGCACGATACCGTTGAACAGGTGGTTGACTGGATGGGGGAGAACATGCTTCTGATCCTTACGATTGCCAGCGTCTTGGTGGGTCTCATCCTTGGATTCCTTGGTCGGTTAATCAATCCATCACCGCAGACCATTACTCTTGTCAGTTTTCCCGGGGAACTTCTGATGCGATTATTGAAGATGTTCATATTACCGCTTATTGTTTCTTCGCTTATCGCCGGTGATTATGCAAAATTCCGGCAATCATTCGTTGAATTGCTTGCTAAGTTCTTTCGTTCGTAGGGATGGCACAATTGGACGCTAGAAGTTCAGGAAGAATGGGGTTCAGGGCATTAGCATATTACACAGTGACCACCATTCTAGCTGCTATAGTCGGTATCCTGATGGTGATAATGATCCATCCTGGTGATCCTAGGATCAAGATCACTATAAATGCACCCAAGGCGGAGGACACTAAAGTTTCTACCTTGGATGCTATTCTTGACATAGTTAGGTACGCGAGACACAATACGAATGATATTGGGCATCAATGATGAATGTTATTTCTAGAAACATGGTGCCGGAAAACTTGGTACAGGCGTGCTTCCAGCAGGCACAGACCGCTTACGTGAAGAAGAAGGTGATAATCGTAGGTAGCGCGAATCAAAGCGATTTCATCCTGGAACCAACGTTGATCTACAAGGACGGGACGAATGTGATGGGCATGATAGTGTTCTGTATCACTTTCGGTCTTCTAGCGGGACAAATTGGTTCTCGAGGAAAACTGATGGTCGACTTCTTCGTGGTACTGAACGAAATAATCATGCAGCTCGTCGGTATCATTGTGATGTGGTGAGCGATCGAGACTCAACTTAATTTCACGCTTGGTAGTTCCCTTGCTACTCGCCCGAATCGTGATCAGGCCGAGAAGAGCGTCGGTTCGAGTTTTAATGTCGTACAGGTACTCTCCGTTCGGAATCATGTGTCTGATAGCTGGAAAGATAATGTCGATCGCTAATCTGGCAGCGACTGCACAAATGTTGGGTCTGTATATGGTGACAGTTATCCTGGGATTATTAATTCACGCTGTAATCACTCTGCCGGCGATATTTTGGTTTTTGACTCGACAAAATCCAGCCGTCTTCTTCAAAGGTATGATGCAGGCTTGGGTTACAGCCTTGGGAACAGCGTCGAGGTAACAATCAGCTCTTTTATTTTTTATACCAATATACCGTTTAACTCGTGGATATGGTTTATCGTGCACATTTCATGTTTGTAGTGCTGCAACTTTGCCAATAACTTTCCGTTGCCTGGAAGAAAATAATAAAATCGATCCAAGAGTGACACGATTTGTAGTAGCTGTAGGAGCTACGGTGAACATGGATGGAACGGCTCTCTACGAAGCCGTTGCTGCGATTTTCATTGCTCAAATGAATGGAATCTCGTTGGGAATAGGCGAAGTTATAACAGTCAGGTCTGTAGAATCAATGCTACACGCAAATATGCAAGTTTCATTATTTATTTAAATCCTCCTTCATGTATATAGTCTTACGGCCACCTTGGCGAGTATAGGGGCAGCGAGTATTCCCAGTGCCGCCCTGATTACCATGTTGATCGTCCTTACTGCACTGGGTTTGCCCACTGACGATGTTTCTTTATTGTTTGCAGTCGATTGGTTGTTGTAAGCACAATAATTATTTTAAGCTCAGGTCGAATCCCATCTAGTGATTGTTATTGTTGCATATTTTAATTCTCATTTGAAGGGATCGAATCAGGACTTCGATAAACGTCTTGGGCGATGGATACGGAGCTGGAATAGTTTATCATTTGAGCAAAAAGGAACTGGATAAAATGGATCAAGAAAGGAAGCTAGAAGGCCTTGAAACTGGGACACCTCTGCAGGATATCTCGGATAATTGTCAGTGCGAAAGTACACCTGTCCCTGAGCAAAGTTCTGAAACAAAGATTTAATTCGTTGGAATGTTAACCCCCTTCAATTTCTCGAATAACGATATAATAGAAAATTATGCTCACTTCAGCGGTGACCAGATTCAATTGTTACGACGCGACGGCGCTTAACAAAATTTATCTCTTCACTGCCAATATAGTTTTTTTGGAGTCGCGATTTGTATATTTATTTGATGTATTGGAATTTGATGAATTTTCTTTTTAAATAACTGGTAAAATAGTACAAAAATTGCAAAAACATGTGAGCATGTCAAGTACAAAGCAATATATGATTATCGATCGTTCCTTCGAGTTATAACAAGAAATACATTATTTTATGTACTGATTTGAAAACGATATTGTACAAAGGATTAAACGTAAGAAATTTTATTTTTGAATTGAAATGTTTAACTCGATGCGAAATAAATATGTTATCGTTTATTTACGTTCATAGTTAAATAAAGAAGGGATTAAAGCGTTTCGTTAGAACAATGCTTTAACCAATTAACAAATTTATTCACTGCTTTCTTTTGTTTACATTATTTGTATATTATATAATTCATTACATAAATGTTACATACACGAAGAAATAAACATAGATCTAAATATATTTAGTACAACAATTTGTGCTTTGAGAAAGGTACAATAACGAACACGATTAAACAGATGGAACGATGGAATAAATATATTTTTGAAAGTGTCCTATGTACATACATATACAATAAATCACATAGTGCTTTTTCAACAATGTTATTACTCTGTTTAGCAACTGGCAATTGTTTGTGATATATTCAATTAATTAACGACATACCTATTTATTTAAAAAATATAAACCCTTAAACCTACAGATCCTTTTAATCAGTACACATGTACCATACCATACAAAAATCTAATTTCAAATTGAGGAAAATGTTCAATATACATGATAAACATCAATTTCACTGAAATAAAAGTATTTAAGTTTTGAAAGGATACGTCCAAAATAGCACATATGTCTATTATATTATTTTTTAAATAATTTCTGTTAAGGAAAATATTTGTGTGATAAATATTTGATTGCACTTTATTGTATATATGTAAAGGATACAAAGAGACCTCCAAAAAATCCACTTGTTAAAAGATTTCGTCTGCTTATAAAATATTTTTTCCACTGACCTCCTGCTTTTAATAATAACATTGCCTAAAAACACATTTGAACCTTAAAGTTTATTAAACATGTTACAATAATTTTCCCAAAAGAAATACTTTATACTTGCCCATAGTCCAAATACAGCAAAAATATAAAAGCCAAAACCATATAAACCTGTTAAGCCTAATAAACCAGCTGTACCACCTGATAAAGCTGCCATTGATATCCTACAATATTCTACTACAGCAGCATTGTTTACAACAGCTGCTTCACTATATGCAATAATCTCTGAAAACAAAAATGTATATCAAATTATAGGAATGTTACTATATATTTTAATATAGCAGTAACATTGTTGTTTGAATGATACAACATTTTCAAGTGAAGAAGTAAACTGCTTGTGATTGCTTCAAGCAAATGAAACAAAACTTATAAAACACACTTACAGTTTATCTCAACAACAAATCGTAAAAAATTTTGTTATTTCAACAAAATTGTATACATTTTTTATATTTATATACAGTATTGTTAAACAAAACATAACCTACATTAAAAACTACAAATATACAAAAACATAAACTGTTAAAAATATAAAAAATAATAAATTAACTGATATTTTATTACATACCTCCTTTTTCTTGTTTTGTTTTAATTTTTCCCAACATTGTACTGTTATAATACTGATACACAATTTGTATAATTTAACCTACGAAGACATTCGTTGATGACTATATAAAAACTCTTCTGTCGGTTGCTGCGAGCAATGACTACAGAGTTAGAAGTTTAGACATGCTTTTGTTTTCGAGGGTTCATAATTTAGGGGGTTCTAGACACCCCACATGATATAAGGTCGGCATCCAGAGGGCGCCATTGGCACAACATGGTCCTTGACACCCCTGAATGTCAATGTCCGTATGAAAAAGCCACAACCAGTATGATAATCGCCCTCTATTTTCTTTCCGGAGTTTTTTTCCGACCTAATATCGCTATCCTGAATTCCCTGTTTCTCTTCAGCCCTACATTCTTTTCATCCCTACATTCTCGTCATCCCTACATTCTTTTCATCCCTTCATTTTTTTCATCCCTATATTCTTTTCATCCCTACATTCCTTTCATCCCTAAATTACTTACATCGCTTCATCCCTTACATCTCTGCATCCCTTACATCCCTGCACTCCTCACATCTCTACATCCCTTACATCTCTTCATCTCTTACATCCCTGCACTCCTCACATCTCTACATCCCTTACATTCCTGCACTCCTCACATATCTACATCCCTTACAACTCTGCATTCTTCACATTCCTGCCTTCTTTATATCCCAACATCCCTTACATCCGTGCAACCCTTACATGCCTGTATCCTTTACATCCTTGTATCACTTATATTTCTGCATTCCATACATCCCTGTATATCCCTCAAATTGAGTAGAAATTTTTGAAAAAATAGCGCCCCCTAGCGGCAAAAATGTGAACTAAAATTTCGTTGTCGAATCAGCGCCCCCTGGTGGCGAAAAAGGAACTAAATCTTGCTCGATTTCTGGCCCTCTGACGGCAAAAATGTGAACTAAAATTTCGAAGTCGACTCAGCACCCCCTGATGGCGAAAAGAGGAACTAAATCTTGCTCGACTTCTGGCCCTCTGACGGCAAAAATGTGAACTAATATTTCGATGTCGAATCAGCGCCCTCTGGTGGCGAAAAAAGGAACTCACTTACCTTTACTTACCTTTACTCGAACCAGTCTTTATAATATATTTATTATAAGGGATGAAGAGATGTAAAGAATGTAGGGATGAAAGGAGTGTACGGATGAAAAGAATGTATGGATGATAATAATGTAGGGATTTAAGGGATGAAGGAATGTAAGGAATGCTGGGATGGGAGGAATGCAGGGATGTAAGGTATACGGAGATGTTCTTGGCCTATAATGAGGGATAAAATTATATAAATAACTGGAAAAAGTAAAATAAATGGGGTCCTTGGCTGAGACCCAGAAGAGGAATATAATCATAAATGTTATTCCCCTTCGATGAGCTTATTTAATAAGCAAAAAAAAATAAATGAGGTAAATTAAATAAACTCTGAAAAAAAATTATACTGGTTGTGCCCTCTTCATACGGACCTGATATTATCCAGGGGTGTTAGGGACCCCTCTGCGCCAATGACGCCGTCTTCGTACCGATCTGATATCATATTGTGGTATTAAGGAACCCGTAACGCCGGTGATTATCGTTGCATACCAATAATATAGCATCCGGGGTGCCGGGGACCCCGAAGCACGAGTGACTATCTCTGCATACCGACATGGTATCATCTTGGGGTATCAGGAACCCCTAAGCACCGGTGACACTGTTTGCATACTGACATTTTGGCTTCCGGGGTATCAGGGACCCCGATGTACCGATGACACTCTTTGCTTACCGACATTACGGCATTCGGGGTATCTGAGACCCCAAGGTACCGGTGACGCTGGATACCGATAATATTTCATCGGGGTGTCAGGGACCCCGAAGCAAATAGCGAAATATAAGACCTAAAAACGAACAAATCGTAAAACTCACTTGTTTGGGATAGCGATGGGTACGACCGGATCTAGCGAAATATAAGACCTAAAAACGAACAAATCGTGAAACACACTTGTTCGGAATAGTAATGGGTACGACCTGATTCGATCCTGGGGTGTGTTGGACCCCGAAGCACCGTTAACTCTCCCTGTATACTGACATTATGGCATTCGGGGTGTCTGGGACCCCGGTGACTCTTCCTACGCATCGACATAAAATCATCTTGGGGTGTTAGGGACCCCGGGGGCTCTTTCTGCGTACTGGCTTAATATCATCTTGGGGTGTCAGGGACCCCGTTGACTACCTCTGCGCATTGACCTATTATCATCTTGGGGCATCAGGGACCCCGGTGGCTCTTTCTGTATACCGAGCTAATATCATATGGGGTGTCAGGGACCCCGGAAACGCTTTCTAATAAGTACTAAACTTTTGTCAGGTGAGGTTATGTTAAATTCGTACACTGTGTAGATGTAATATCTGAAAAATAACAATTTAACAACTTTTTTATTAACGACTGGTCGGTTAATTGTTAAATGACTAACATATTTTTTTTCTAAACTATAGAGTTAACTTTTTATTGATTTTAGTTAGAAGATCCATCTGATTCTGTTGTTTCATAAGATTATGTAACCTCTATTTCATTACTTTTTAAGATCAAAAACGGATATTTAACATTTATCGCATGACAACAGTTGATCCCTGTAAAAAATTTGCATGTAAATTGCAACAGTGTTTAAAAGGTTTGTGTTTTAGGACCATTTTTACCTACTGTAATCTTGTTTAATATTTTTAACCTATATTAAACATTAACACCAATAGTTATTATTTAATTTTAGACAACGTTTACCAACCATCACGTTGCGAGTCAGTTATAGAAGAAATAAGGCAGTGTTGCATACATCATTCAGCTGTATCAGTAGTTTGTGATGGTATAGATACTTCAAAACCATACGAACACAATACAGTAGATTATGTAAGTATAACAGATTTCTTCTAATTATTCTGTTATTAAGAATATTTAGTAATCATTTGTTTTGTAATTTTTATTTTAGAAAAAAGCTCAGAAATAAGTTCATCATGTATTCAGATCGATTAAGAGTAATTAATTGGATTGGTACTATAGCATTATCATGCTATGCTATGTGGACAGTGTATCAACTTGCATATAATGATCCTCCACGTAAAAACAAAAAGCCTGCCCATACATAAAGAAGATAATGTTTTACTATAACCAGTAATGTACTAACCGATAGTAAATATATATATCAAATATAATAAATAATACAATGTGTTAATAAAAGATGGAAGCAGTAAAAAGGGCAAAAGAAAGATTTAGAAAATATCCAATTCTAGTAGCACAGTGTCACGAATCTGGGGCCAAATATGCTGCATGTGTATTGGCAAAACCTAATTTGAACAAACATGACTGTGACAGTGAATTTAAGGAATTTAAGACATGTTTGATGAATGCTGCTGCAAAAAATAAAACAAGGTTGTAACAGTTCTATAAAATGAAATGAAGCTTTATGTTTAGCTGATATATATTTTGTAGAAAATATATTTCATTTTTTCAACATGGCTAGGCTATCATTTAAAGAACACTGTACTTTAGCCTTCTTGATTAGAGTAGCTTTAGTTATTTACTCGGATTATCACGATAAAACGTTTAGTGTTCCGTATACTGATGTGGATTATACGGTATTTAGCGATGCAGCGAGACACATGGTAGAGGGATCGTCGCCCTTCGATCGTGATACTTATCGATACACACCACTGTTGGCTTTGCTTTTAACACCTAACATCTTTTTGCATGAAAATTTCGGAAAAATCTTATTTTCTTTTGTTGATATTTTGGTAGGAATTTTAATAAACAAAATTTTATCATTACAGCATGTCAGCGAAAAATTAAAAAATACTTGTACTTTTATATGGTTGTATAATCCTTTCACGATTATAATTTCAACCAGAGGAAATGCAGATTCTGTGGCAGTTATTTTAGTTATGTTGACTTTGTACCTATTTCTACAAGATAAATATGTTCAAGCAGGTTTCTTGCATGCTATATCAATTCATTTTCGATTATATCCTTTAATTTTTAGTATACCTATGTATTTCTCTCTTCGCGGTCGAAATTATTTGATACCAAACAAAAATCAAATGAAGTTGGTACTTAGTTGTGTAAGTCTAACAGTTTTGTTAACTCTTATAAATTATTATTTCTACGGTTACAAGTATCTTTACGAGAGCTTTCTGTATCATTTAATGCGTAAAGACACGAAACATAACTTTTCGGTTTATTTTTACATGATGTACTTATCTGCCAAGGAGCCATCTAGCATAATTCAAAAAGTACTCACATTTCTGCCACAGTTATTATTACTGTTATTGTTGTCATATAAATACTCAGACAAGTCTCTATTACCATTTGCAATGTTTACACAAGCCATGGTAGTGGTAACGTATAATCCGGTATTAACATCACAATACTTTTTCTGGTATTTATCCCTCTTACCTTTGTGTCTCCCGCGTTTCGGATTAAGCATTCGTAGATCATTATGTTTATGCTTCCTTTGGATCTTAAGCCAAAGTCTATGGTTACTGGCCGCTTATTTGTTAGAATTCCGAGGATTGAATACTTTTACGTACATCTGGATTGCTAGTTTATTATTTTTCGTTGTTAACGTTAAAATTTTAAACGATATTATCGTATATTACAAATATTAAATAAAACTTATAGAAATAAATTGATTATTATTAACATTTTATATATTATTTACATGTATGTACTCGAATTGAAAGCGTATTATTTAATCGTTATCATTATTGTCGAAAATAAACACGAATAAAGTTTGTAAAAGGCATACAGATATGTATTTAAAATCTATGTAAGAGAGAATAAAATTAAAGATTAATGGTAAAGCCTACGACCTATCTGTACTTTCTTGAGTCCAACGGTAGTGGTGGAAATATTAGATAAAACGATAATTATTCGTTATTTTATTCTTGCAGGAATACAAAATACTTATTTACAGATGGTTTCGTAAAGTAATAGTGGTAGATTCTTAAAAGGAATGTAGATATAGTAATAATAATACAATAATAGTAAATCTTAATGTAGTAATCTAGATCAATTGTGAGCAAGAGCATCCTTTGGATCATCATCAGAAATATCTCTGTCGTTTATTTCTAAGCTGCTAATTGTTGATGATATTAAATATAAACGTGACATTCATCGTCAAATCATACGAGAATGCTTCTCACAATTTCTAACGACACCGTTTAAAACGATATTAACCCGAGTAGTTTTACAAAGTATAAAAAAATACCATCGATATCGTTCGTCAAATCATGAAACCACGGTCAGACTCAAAGAAACAGCGGTTCTTCGGTGAACTTCCGGTGAACCCTGCAATATCACCATCGCGTTGAAACATTTTCAGTGTCTTTTATTTTTTTATTTTTTACAGAGGAAGGGGGTGGATCGAAATGAGGCGAGATGTGACACGAAATTGGCCCAATCGATAACACGAATACAAAGGGGAGAGAACTCAAAGTACAGTTCCGTATAACTATAGGTCACCACGGCAGACGATGCAACATATAAAAATAGCGTTATTTTCTTTCATTTCTGCTTTTGTTTGCAGTTCATTTAACTGCGTGCTGTGTGAAAATCCTCGGTTTTATTTCCCATCGAGGTGAACAGAGAATTTTTTACTTTTAACCGACCCAATTAGGAAGTAACACACGGAAGTATCGGAGCGGATAATTCTGGGCCTTGCAACAAATTCCTCATCCCCTAATAGTCGAGAATTCTAAACTTCGTTTACCAGTTGCAAAGTCCAGAAGTTGTTTGTTAGGCAGAAAGAATTTACGTGTTCGAGTGATATATAAAAACGAAGAGAACGCAGGCTGAAATGCTTGCGTGATAAGGAAAAGAGTCCTTGTTAACCAGAGAGGATTGATCAACAAAGGAGTTGCGTTTTCGCATCGGCTACGAAAGACTGCTACGTCGAAATGGCATGCGTGCTCAAGTGCATTTACGTGGTTGCAAAGCAACAATACGTTTCGAGACGCGAAATCGCTCGATATTGCACGCGTGCGACGGTTTCCGTGCACATTTCTCAGAGAGATGCAACGTTCGAGTGCATCCGGACCACTTGTTCCTTCCTTTTTTCCTTTCACGTCTCAAAAGGCTTTTATTCTTCCGGTATTATCTTTTGTATCTATACTTTCGCTTTCCAGTTCCTTTTCTTTCTGTTTGCAGAAAGTCGTTCGCTTAAAAATTCAAGGAAATGCGGTAGAACGTAAGCAAGCGACGGGAAACGCGTTCCCAAAGATTAACTTTTGTCGTAATGCATTGGATACAAAGTGAACAGGTGATGTAATGGTGATGCGAAAGGGGATCGTGTCGCATGAACGGATGGGTGAAAACGTGAGACTATCGGAACTTATTATATGGCAAAGATTTAATAAAATATGATAACAGCGCTGATACATATTACACTCTACGAGAAGTATAAACGGCACTGGCTGCTTAATAATTACCACATAAATCAATTAACTATAAATAATAATAATTAATTGTAATAATAATAATAATGATGATAATAATAATAATCGTTACCGTTTGTAATGATGTTTGATGAACGATTAATCAGATTAACGAAAATGTACACCTTAAGTATAAAAGATTGGCGCCGATCGATCGCGGTGATTATGATATACAACGGAAAGCTTATCTAAACAAACTTATGCCGATCTATATCAAACGTACAATGATAATAATAGTAATAATTAGAAAGAAAAAGATGAAATAAAGAGAAATTATAATTAAAACACTCGTTGTAACACATGGATAAATGCATCGATTTATACGACATAAACTCATATTAATATACACAACATTAAAATAAACATCTCTTTGGTCTCGTCGTTCATTTTCCTTTTTTCGATCGCGTTTCAAGTAAGAAAGAAAGAAAAGGAACGTGTTTCGTGTCGTGAAACATAGGTCCTCTGCGTTCGAAAAGAAAAGAAGAAAAGAGAAGTAGCAAAAGGCGCGAAATTCAATAAAAGGGTGGTTCTTGCGGGAACGGGGAGGAATGAAAAGCGCATAAACGTTAAGGGCACGCGTTTGTAACACCTGTCGACTGCCGCGACGCGGGAAACATCGAAAATCGGAAAGCAACACGTCGCGATACTTTTAGCTTCATTCAGTTTTCTTTCGTCGTTCGTTTGTACTTACATATTCTTACTGGTATATTTATCGCGATGCCCCGAGCGGTTCGAGGCTTTGATGAGAATTAAAAACGCGTCAGACGTTAGCTACACTTGGAATAAAAGGGTTTTGTTGGCACACACTGTCGTTATCGAAGAGTAGACTGGTGGATTTTGCGTTACGTTCGATTCACAAGGAAAAAATCTCCGTTTCATTCATTCATTCACTCTCATTCACTCTCTATCTTCCTGTTTTCGCTAAATTTATTTCACTAACGGAAGATTTTGTGCGAATGATGCGTCTTTCACGTAGGCGTCGCTTTCGGACCTGATCCTTTAAACGCTACAGGTACGTGCGAGGAATTCGAAATTGAATTGCGATCGAACAAACACGGAAACGAGCGATTTAATCTACACAGGTGGACGATCGTCGAATGCCACGAGAAGACAGGGAAACGCAAGAATCTTGATTAGAATACACTGATTGAAGGGTATTAAAAAAGAGCATCGTTCCTGATCAATTAACTCTGTTCTCGTTGAAATGTAGAAAAGGGTGTAGACGTTCCCTTTGTGCATTATTTTTGTTCGTTTGATATTAATAACAAAGATTTCTGATCATCGATCGTCAACGAAAAATCCTAGAAACTGCAACTCTTCTTTGCTTCATTCTTTCTTTGTAAGACCTCAAAAAAGTTGTCTAGCTAAATGTACGTAGGCTATGTTACAAAGTAATTTACACTAAAAACGGTGATGATTCGCTGTTCATAGTCAAATGTCTAGTGTTCAAATATGTACACGTGCTCCTCTATTCTTCCCCTTATTTTTATCACCCTTGAAATATTTTCACTTGGCGCACTTCGAAGGACAATCGACAACATTGACGAAATCAATGATCGACTACCAGTATCTTTAACGATCTCTAATTAATCAACCTCTTTCAGGACACATTTATTAAAGTCATGAAAAAAAATGATCTCAATATGATTCTACTTAATCCTTTTACCGTGATATCTGTTGCATTTATTTACAATAATACTCTGTGACATTGTTACATATCTTTGGATGAAAAAAGAAAAGTAATGAAATGTATGCGAAAACTGATTCATTCTATTCCTGAAGAGGTTGACTGATCTTCGATTTTTCTAAAACAGTCTCTGCACGAGAATAAAAGAATCGACCGAATAGAAAAGGGTTGATCAACGGCGAGGGTTGGTGAACGCGCGTAAACGGGTCGATAAAAACTCGTTATCAAACCGGAAGGGAGGGAATCGACGGAATAGCATTTCGGCGAACTTCATCCGACACGCGTTTCGACTGGCGAACTTTGCCAATTCGATGCGCGATAACGTAGCGGGTTCGCAACAGAAAAGTTCTCGCATCGATCGGGTTACGAGAGTTTCCTTCGAGTTTCCCGTTGTATTTCTTTCGTATCGAGTTACGTTTCATTCGGTTAATTTACTTTTCCGTCCTGTGTTCGCGTCATACGACCCAACACGCCTTCTTATTCCCCGGTGGTTACGTTTCCGTCGTTACATTTATTTCTTTGTTTCATCTCCCTCCCGCCCGTTCCACGATTGTTCCCGCAATTAGCGCACGCAGTATCACGCTAATTGCCCATTGTGGCGAGTCCTCGCCTCGAAACGCGTTTCCTCGAGACGTTTCGCGCATTTTTTTCAACGGCGGGCATCGTTAGCCGGTTGGTGAGCGTTGTAAGAACCTCGTTGTTGCACCTTGTGCCACGTAATTGAAATTCTATTGTCCGCGATTTAACCGCGTTGCGATTCTTCGGGATTTCGAAGGGGTCCGCGAATGGCGCGACATCGTGGAAAGCGGACACGCGACAGAGAAAAACCGCGGTAACAAACGCGTTTGTCGCGAAACGATCTTTTCACAGATATCACGAATGCAGTTCCTAATTATTACCGCGGCTATTCCGTTGTGTCCTTTTTTTTTCCTTTGCTATTTCTCATTTCGAACGAGAGATCGTTCCGAGACAAGTCACGCGACTCGTACATCGACCCCTTTCCTATTCGCGGATTTGTCATTCAGATTTAACGCGGTTACAGTCTTTTTAGTTTTTGTCAAACAGTCTACTGTACCTGTAAAATACATCAGGATCGAAACGTTTCGCTGGATGAATTTCATATCGAGACGATCGTTAGAAAAAAAAAGTGCGTTGATTTTTAGTTAATTGTTCCCATGCACGTTTGCTCTAGACCGAGGAAATTTGAATGAAATCGTGATCGCGATTATTGGTCGAGATTACTACACACAGTGTACGTTGAAGAGTTTCGGTAAAAACGCAACAGATTTTCCCAGATACTAATCGTGTTTCTCCTTTCGGTTTCGTATAAAAAGGTGGAGAAAAGGGTTATCAGGATCGATAGAAAAACGTGGTTTCCTCGAAACTCGGAGTGTAATTCGATCGTGGATGGATGGTTGATCTGAATCAGAAGTGCTCGCGTTATTTCAGAACAACTATCCTTCGATATTCTTTGTTTTTCTTGCTCGCCCTTGTGTTACTCGTGCGAGAACGATCGCAGTTCTCGTGCCCTTCCCGCTACTGTACAAATGGTACGCCGATTATTCGAAAGATTCGCAACGATTCGCTTGAAATTCCTTCACGCAGCCTAATTCTTCTTCTTCACACGCCGCGCAACGCGTTCGAAGAAAAAAGCTTAACATCGAGAAAAATATGGGGGTATATATCGTATCTCCTATTATATGTCGCTCAGTCGAATTCGAAATAGTTATTTTTTTTTTTCCTTTTTCTTTTTAATGCTCGTGTTTTACGCAGCTTTCTTGATAGCACGCGAAAAAGTGTTCATTTCCTAAAAAGTCACTTTCCGTTTCACAAATGTGCGCGGACGATCCGATCGTTTCCAAGATACGTCGCACGTGATCGGGTTTCGCGATACGATTCGCGTTCCTCTTCTGCGAATCGATTACTTTTTATTCCACCTTCTCTGTTTACTTGGATTTTATTATTGGATTCCACAAAGCTTATTTACACGATGAATAATAGTATGGCACATGCTACTGAATCGAAACGTTTTAACACTCTTCCCTGTTTTCTTTTCGTTAAAAAGAAAAAAAAAAGGAAATCATCGAACCCGTTCAAACGTGACACGTGAAGGAATAAGAAACGATCGGCTCGTCGGATAAACTTTGCGAAATAGTAGTAATAGGCCATAATTCCTAACCGTAAAGTATGAAATGTATCAACAAATTTGAAAAAACTTCCCTCTTTCACCCAGTTAGGCAATGTCTTCTTCATTTCTCCTTATCTCTCTCTCTCTACATCATCTACTCTCGTATCGCGTGATAGTTAGAGAACGCATGATCGTTCGTCAGAGGACTCGTTAAATTGCCTAAGAATTTCGCGCTTTGCAACACAGCGTGACCGAGCCGAAGCGCCAAGTTTTCTCGTCGAATCGCACGAGCAAGCAGTTCTTCTTTTCTCGACGCGTTACGCGAATAAACTTTCAATGAAAAACAACGACGTTGGGGAATTGCACGAAACGAAACGATTGCACTATAGAAAAATAAGCTATTCGTGGGTGATACGACCTCTTCGTGGCGAGTGGAAGAGGAGCGTGTAACGCGAACGCAAACTCGCGCGACCAGAAGGAAAAGCTTGGATCTCGTCGGCTCTCGTTCCTTTCCTTGACTAAAGGCGAAGAAATCGATATTAATTTAATTAATAATTGACAGATAACCAATTAATACGTATAGGATGGCCCAGCGGCAAGAAGGCGTAAATTTCTAAGGTTCAAACGACATAAACTTTTCTAATTTTAACATCGCCTCGGACCATCCAGTACATTGATTGTAATTACTTCCCGCAGTATACTTTGTTAACCTACATTTTTATAATAGAAATCATGTGTCTGTATGTAATAGATCTCTCTCGCTCTCGCTCTCGCTCTCTCACAAATATGGCCACGTGCCGTTACTAAATTCTGTCGTGTACATACGCGTATTCGTATCCTTGGACATATTCCTGGTGAACAAAAGTTTCCTGATGGCTGTGTGTACGTGTATGTTTTTTATGTCTTTTGTTTCTCTTTCATCCCGTTGAATCTGTACAGTTTGGAATTCCACCAAGCATTTATACATAGACGCGTTACTCGTGTAACAGACGAGTGCGCATGCGTGCGTGCGCAACGCGAAACTACGCTTGCGCAATTACCACACGCGCATGCGCACAGAGGACTTTGTTTTGCACGTTTCGGATGAAACTTTCGAAACTTTCTCGTTCACTCGCACTCTCGCACGCGCTCTCTCACTCGCTCATTTAAATAGTTAACAGTAACATCAGGATGAACATTGTACAGAGTGATTGACGTACAATAAAGCCGAACTTACGGCAGATGGTTCCGTAGCCCGAGAAAAAGGAAACACCGTCGACGTCGAGGCTGCTCGACGTTGCGACGAGGAAAACGCACGGTCCGAACGAGAGAATCGAAAATGCTTACGATTAAGATAATACTACACTGTATAATCTCGCTGAAGACGATCGCGTTCTCCTCGACGAGACGTTTTAAGCGCGAACAAAGGAACTGATTGTTTCTTAACGACGACGATCGCGCGAGGCACGATCGATCGTGGAATGTGAGAACATATCCTCGATAGGAAGGAAGTATCGTCACGAATACTGATTCTTTTTTTTTCGATTTCCGACGACAGAATCGAGGGTTTTTCGAGAGGAACCGTCTGCCGTAAAGTAGCTCGCGCAGAATCAGATATGCACATAGTGTTTTCCTTTTCTTCTTCCTCCTTTTCACAGTTACAAAACTAACTAAATCTTACGAGATACGGTGAGCAATAATTCCAGTTATGTACAGAAATTATGTTACAGACGTCATAATATAAAGATATTTTCTCACGATACAAATGTATATTCGTTCATCTAGTTCTGAACGCGCGACGATCACCGTCGTCGTTCGTTCGAATTCCTTTCGTTCTCACTTCTCTTCTTCTTTTTTTTTCAGTGTGCAGCCTTCTGTTTTCAGAATCGTTTCAATAATTGATAGGCTACCCTGTTTCGTTATCGTAATCAATGGTATCATCTTCGTCGTACACCGTGACGCGAATCAATTCATTTTTTTCTTTTTTTAATAAATTTAAAGACTCTAATTTGAGGCCGTTCCGTAGATCATCGTCGAGGAAGCATTGCCAATAGATTTATTTCTTATCCTCGTCCATGAACTACAGACATTGCAAACAAGCAGAAAAAACGAACCAATATAATTTCTAGAGAAACGAGAATAATTCAATAACGAGCGTAATTGAATAAAGAATTCTCGATCCGTTTTTTCTTTCTTTTTTTTTTAAGTCGTGCTAGATTTCACTCCTTTGAAACAAGATGCACGACCAGTTTCATCTAACGCGTTTCTTTCTTTCCTTCCCTATTTACCCATCTTCCTTAATATCGTATAGATTGTTCTATTTACATAAAGCTGTCCACTTACGAACGAGCTTATTTCAATACAATTTTGCTCTGGTAGCGCCACCAAACTATAGGCCCTATGTTCATATTGACAACAGGTGTATATATATATATATATACCTAATCATTTTAGCTATCTATTTTACAGATGTCGGCCTGCGGAACGCGTCGATTCTAAACGCTTGTTCATTCGTAAGCGAATCCTCAGGCCGGAAGAAGGCTCGAGATCGCGACCGATCTTGTCAAACAAGCCGCGCGCGAACCTCGAGATTATTGCATGCTCTCGTTTTAGTGCGCTTGCTTGCGAATACTGCGCGAGATCTAACATTTGTCCTACAAATAAAAAAAAAAAGGCAGCACGACACAGTAACGTCGAAGTAGCAGCCGAGACGCGTTCTTGTCCGATCAGCCAGTTCGGCTGGACATCCCCGTCTGCATATCACATATTCGAAAAGCGAAATACATCCGTCGAAGCTACCGATGTTCACTTCACGTTTTCCCTTTAAAGTGACTGCTACTACGATCAGCGATGAGATTCAATTCCCATTTTCGTTACGTTTCGAATGAACATTAAATTCTTATCGAGATCTAAAGTATGCGAATAAAAGATTGTCGATACCGAGTGGTCTGTTCTTGTTCCGAAGAGTTCCTTCGATCTACGAACCTAACCACCGTCCTTCATTCTCGCGAACCCTCGTAGAACACGAGCCTCAATCGCCTCAATCGCCGTTTCTTCTTTCTTCTTCTCGTCGATTCATTTCCATGGCGAACGTATACTGATTTTCGTCCAGTCTCCTCGAGCTACAAAGTCGATATTTTAGATGAAGGGAGAAAAATACCCTCTCGTGCTCTCGATTCGACGAAGGAATCTTTTTGCTACCGCGACTTCAGTCTTCTTAAATGGAATACCGCACGTTGCGAAACGTAATCTCGACGATGTTCGACCAACAACGGTGAGATAGGAGTCTCTTTCAATTTACCGGCCGATTCTCCGCTTCCATATCGGTCGAATTGCCAACAGCTGCGATAGACAGTTCTTTTTTCCAGAGACCTTCACGATCCAAGTTTCTTTGCAACAGCTCGTAAGTACGCGGTCGTTCATTCTATAATCGTAGTATCAATTCCTTGGTACGCAGGAACGTATCGCAACTCGTGTCGGCTGGTCAGACTGGTCCTCTCGTGAATCCTTTTAGGCGTCGTTTCCAACGTGTCCATGGCTCTCGCGTACGATTTTCGTCTCGCCAACAGCTTCGTCGCGATATCCAAAACGGAATACTCGGTCAGTTCTCGCGATTCTTCGATGCGTTCAACTTCTCGCCACCTGTACTCTCTTCGAGGCGTCTCCCAAGAGTCACGGACGAGCTGGTCTTCCTCGAACAGTTCGTGCTCGATTGGAATCATGAAACTCCGCGGGTCTATCTTCTCCGGATGTTCGTAACTCGTCGAGGAGACACGAATCGGTCGCGAGACGTCGACACGATGACGTTGTTCGACGAGTTGCCGATGATCACGACTGGCCCTTCGCAATTGTCGTAGCACCGATTCGATGTACTTGAGCGCCTCACCGTTCTCCGCCATTCGTTGTGTCCGTCCTTTGACCCGAATCTTCTTCGCGCACATCTCGTCCCCCAACCTCGATTCACCGAGCAATCGTTCGACCTCCGACGCTCGCGCGACTGTGGAAGTTCGTCGAGCAACGTTCTGATAACGACAGGTTCTAGCTAGGCGATCCGCGAACAAGTTTTCGCGCGACTTGAAGCGCGAACTAGTTTCTTCGACAGCTCGACGATGCTGGAAGGCGGTGCTAGTTAGGCCCGAACGTCGATGGTTCTAGTTCGGATAGACCCCCTGGCCTCATACATGCGTCGCTAGCGTCCCGACCGCCGAGGTGCGTTTTACCGTCGCGACGCCACCGTTTGGCCCACCTGTGATGTAGTGCGCCGAAAGTGGAGCCTGGAAAAAATCAGCAGAGGAGACACCGTTCGATTAACGATCGTTTCAACCGAACTGCAACGTTCATACGTGTGTATTTATTTTTCCTTTCACTCGTGGATCATTAGCAAATGGATGGGATAATAACGAATGAAAAATTGACCAGCCGATTTAATCGGCTCGATTAGATCGATCCCCTTACACATTCTAGCAAGACTCGCTCTGTTCGAACTAGTTCAGGTGAACGCAGGAATGCAGCTAAGATGTTGTAACCGTGTCTTGGAATTTGACACACATTCACCGCTGTCATTGTACTAACCTGCGGTCCAGCTCCGTTCAAGGTATTCAAGCTATTCATTCTCATTGCTTGAGTATAGGGTGGTGGTGCTGGCGTTACTCCCGGCACCGCTGTATGCGGCGCGTGTCTCAGTTGTTCCGCCGCTGACATTCTATTGTTTCGAAGAGGAAAAAAAACGATCAGAATAATTTCTCGCACGGTGGGCTGCTGGCGTGTACGTTCGCGGTGCGCACCGGCTTGGTTATTACAAATGATCGCGATAATGGTCGAAGCGGTTGGAAACGCGGCTGTACCCGGGCTCGTTCAAAATTAATATTAAACTCGTCGAGCTGATCGAACCGATGGTTATAAATATTCAGAACGAACGATTCATAATTTATGCGGAATATAATTAATCGGTAGAAACAATTGGGCGCGTTGCAGCAAATCCGTTGATCAATAGCTCGTAAATATTGTAACGTTAGCACGCGCATTGTATTTACAACTCCATCATCGACTGTTTGAACATTATAAACGATTAGCATCGAATGCGCCTCTAGGCGAGAATTCTTGGTCCAAGCCGAATAAACGCAGTATGTGTTCGAAGTCAAAGAATTAAAATTGAATTTATCACTGCATCGTCGTTCTTATTAGTTATATTCCAGACGCGTTCTTCGCCACGGATCTCGCTTGCATCGATTCACGGAATATCACGTTCCGGCCTGGCTATATAATCTAATCGTCTTTGCTGCAATCCGCGCGCGCCTCTGTAGAATTATCGCGCTAAAACGCAATTACAGTTGGTCAAAGGTTCTTCTATTATCCGACACGTCGAACTAGATTGCGAACCCTGGTGACACAGGCGACAAGGCGAGTTCCATTGATACTCTGCCAAGTGCCGGAGAAACTTTACCTGAGGTAGGGATTTCCATAGGTTGCGGAGAAACGAGGGTCGATCGCGGGAGTCGTTTGCGGGCTCGGCGTGCCCAAATTCGCAGAACTCAGACCGATCTTCTTTGAGGCGAGAATGCCGCCCGATGGTATCCTGCTTAAGGATTCTCGCGACGCACCCACTCCTTGTGTCGTGGGTGGCATGTAGTCGCGGGTGTAGTCTACGTACGGCACGTAACCATTGTTGTTACTACCGTCCTGCAACGTGAAACGGAAGGAAAAATTGTTAACGAAACGCGTCTATCACACCATTGTGTCGTGCTTTGCTTTCTCTCATAGAAAACTCGAGGTTCCAAACAAGTGCAACTGTTTTATTTTCTTGGGAATATTTTTCCATATGTAGGAATCGGGAGGAAACGTATATAATTATAATGGGAGACCGTTTAGGCGTGGTCGAGGAAAAGAAATCTGTACTCTCATGTCTATATTTGTTTATTCTCGACGACCTCACCCGCAATACTGAATACTCGCTCTTGTCCGAACTGCTTAGCAGTCATTCGTATGTATATACTGCCATCTTGGGTGATCATGGCAGGGGAAAGGAGGGAAAATATAAATTTCGCCTACACATATATACTATATATATACGCGCGCGCGTGTGTGTGTGTGTGTGTGTATTTATTCTTCCGACACGACAAAAGGTTATTACATTGTTCCACAGGCTTTCGTGCTTGCTCGACATTAACGTGGTTCAACGACTCACGAAATTTCCTATTACTCTAATGAGTCTCAACGTTATAATTCGTACAAGGTGTTCGTACAAAAATTGGGACTGCTATTAATTATTTTAATGGAACTGGTCGAAACACGGTCGAACCTTGGACGTTTCACGAGTCAGAGGTTACTGTATTTGATGGAATTTTGAAGAACCGTTAATTAAATTTAGAAGATTAAATTTTCGGCTATTTCAGGTTTTTACTATGCACTCCGGAAGCTCGGTACTTTTATTAGCATGTTAGCGTCAGCACGTGTGCAAGGGTTGACACGTGGCAGGGTCATTGCATTTGGAGCCATAGGTCTGTCATCGGACTTAGGCCGGCGGTAGTTGATACTTGAGGTGCGACGAATTCTAAAAGTTGCGGACGTTTTGTTTATGGAACGGCGATAGAGAGTTCGATTGCCGATCTCCGAAGGAACGCGCGTGTGGCCGATGACCCGAAATCATGCTGCTGCATGGCACGTATAAAAAGATAAGGGTGTTCTAGAAGGATCTGACCACGGAGTGGGGAAGATCTTGCATCTTCCGGTAAGAGGACCATGACAGTCGGCATGGCACTTATCCCAGAAACGTGATCGAACACGCCTCGTAAAAATTATATCTAACAAGCAATAAACTAGATTATACCTGTCAGATAAACGTTGCAGATTGTACTTACGTTATTCTTGGGTGGAAACGAAGGTTCCGTGTAATCGGCGCTGTAACGATAACCCAAAGGATTTGGAACAGGGCCGGCCAACGCCAAAGCATTGACACCTCTCGTGCTTCCTTCGCCCTCGCTGTCAAGTGCTGTCACACTTTCTGCGTTACTGACACTCGATCCCGCTCGTATATCCGCTTTGACATCCGAGAGGTTGCTGCTTCTGTCGCTCTCTCGATATCGATCAGCGTTCGAATCTGTTTCTTCTGTCGGACGACAAACAAGAAAATCAGCCGGCTAAAGGCGACGATCTTGTTGCGCACTTTTCTTACAAGCTTGTTACGAAACTATTAAGTTATTCTTTATCAAGTATTAAACGAGTTCGACATGATTTCACGACATAAAAGTCCTACCAAATTGCACTTACAGCATATAAATTGAAAGGTTAAAGTTTCAGGAAAATAACTACATAAATATAACGATACGTTATTACATTACCAAAGCTTAACATCGCGATTAGTCGTGTCCCGAGCTCTCGACAATTCAACGACTGATTAAAGCTAGTTCGTACCACTTGAATTCAATTTTCTGTCTGCATATCAAAAAAATGAGCTACGTAACGAGTAGGCCCGCGTAGCGTATAATGTTACATTTTATGTACTTCAAAATTATAAGCTGCAAATGTTTAATCCCTGAGTAACGCGCCAAACAGTTGTTACATGGGTGGAGTCAAGGGGAATGCGAATGTTTTATGCAAACGAGCGCGTAACACTACTTATCGTAAGCTTGTTATGAAACTGTAAATCCTGTCTACTATAATCACGACGAAAGAAATGACTAATAAACCATAAAGAAACGGTTTAGAAAGGATTCGAAAGACCACCTTGACTCCACCCTGTTTAAGGACCAACTATCAGGTTCGTTTGCATTCAATGACACATCCTTCATCTCGCGGGTCGTTAACGACAGATAGCGGAACGATAGCGACTGTTGTGTCCGCAGAGAAAGCAAAGAATTGAACGAATAGAAACGACGAAATTACGAATCACGAATGGGAAAACAATGGGTAACGCGACATGACTAATGGCCTTATAATTCATTCGAACATGATATTCCACTCACGCATATCAGTCTCCTGGGTCTGGGCTGTCCTCGGCCGCGGCTGTTTGATGCGGTCCCGGCATTGCAGAAAGAGTACAACGATCACGCCAATGAGGATCACGCAGACGACCACCAGTCCGCCGATGATCAAAATCAGTTGCCAATCGACTGGAATCAACGCTAAGCGTCACGGCTGATTAAAATCTCGGCCTCTAACGCTCGGTGATTGTAGCAATTATCTTTTTCTATTAACGCTGCACCGTCAGGAACAAAATTCGCGGAGTCGCAAGTGCAAACGACTGCTTAACGATGCGGGTTAAATTTTGTAAAGTGCACATAAAATTCGCGGGGCTTGCGAACGTGTCCGTTAATTGAATCCCGTTGAATTTACGAGTCGACCAACCTCGTACCGGTAAAATTTGTATAAATTCGACTAGCTATTATAAAGCACCGTCGAATAGCTAGCAACGCGTGATATTTATAAAGACTGAAAACACGTACTCGCACAAACTCAAGGAAAAGAAATTTAATAATATGTACCCGACAAGATAAATTAACCTTAACGAATATCTGTTCGCGTATTTTTGGAAACGACAAAATGTTCTGACAAGCCACCGTGACAGCTACGGTGAGATATATTACGGGAAACACAGATTTCTAATTGCGCTGCTTCCTGTCGGTTCAGTTTTAAGCTCGACGCATTAAAAAATTCGTCCATGATTCACCGTATTTCATCCGAGCTAACAAATTGATCGAACAGATCCGATAGCGACGTTTTTGAAAAATGCAAAATCAGGAAGCGAGATCGATCGAGATTTCGAGTTTTCATTCTAGCGGAGCAAGATTGACAGATTTCAGAAACGGTTGATGCGAATTCCGGGCACGATAACCGATCGTCGAAAGGACGGAAGTATGCGCTGGAAAACACGTAATTTCGTGATCGATACTTTTTTCAAAACCGCGATGTTTTTCCGCCGAATATTGTATCGAATTTCTGGAACGTTCGGAAGGTCGGCGTCGAGCGGAAATCTGGCAATTTCGCGGGGAAAAGCGTATCGAATCGCGGAGAAAAATATGAACGGAAGAGAAAGGGCTGTCGTTTATAATGGATATGAACTTACTGTGTGCCGTCAGCTTGATTATGACGGAATCCGTGCCGAAGCTATTCGTGACCGTGCAGTTGTAATCCCCGAAGTACGTGGATATGGGATCGAGCAACGTGACAGTGCTGACGACCCTCTCGCCGGTGTATTCCTCCTGCACGTAGAACGGCGTATTGTTCGAGGAGAAATTGAGCTCGCTACCGGCGAAGCTCCATACCACCGAGTCCGCTTTTGGCACAGATATCGCAGTACACTTCACCTGCGAAATCGTAGAGGAACAGTCGAATAAAAAGAAAGATAGGAGAAAAACGAGGAAAAAGGTATCTGGTTCGTCGCTTGCCCTCTTCGACGAATCGACCGATACTCTTCTCTTTTATCCTCCGTTTCTCTCTCGCTCTGCATGACTTCCCTTTTGAATTGCTGCGCATCGTATATCGACGAGAAAAATGAAGAATGGAAGAGGGGAAAAAAGGAAACACGAAAACGTGGATCGTCGATGCTCGTTGAATGTACGGTTGCACCCGCGTCCCCTCCAATCCCGCCAGTCGGACTGGCCTACATTTCATCGAAAAATATCCGCGCACGCTTTGCGTTCTGCACGCTTGACCACCATTCGTTACATAGAGTTCGAGACGGTGCGTCTGGCGATCGCTCGGTTCTCCTATATTTTCCATAAATGCCTCGTTTCGAATCCCGCGGGTCAAGTTATGGCAGGTATAAATCATGATCGCGAGCGGTTCGTCGATTTTATACGGGATATCGAAAACCAAACGCAAAACAACTATCTTTCATTAATGGGCAATTCGAAATATGATTGATTATCGAAGTAATAGAAATCATTGAAATACGCAGATACTGGAGAGAAACGGAAGAGCAATAAATACGAAGAATTACCTTGACGACTCCTTCGTCGGGCACGTACTGGACCTTCTGCGACTCGATGCGGGGTGGCGCCCGGATGTAGATGTTGGCGTGGCCCGTCAATTCCGGAAAACCGGGTACGCGAGCTTTACAAACGTATCTTCCGGCCGTTTCGTGATTTACCACCACGCTTATGTTCGGCGTGGTGGCGACCTGTCGCTCGGTGTCCTCGTGGTACCAGCGTATCTCCGGCGTCGGATTCCCGTCGACGTCGCATTGCAAGATTTCCGTAGCGCCGTACTGCGTCTCCACGGAGACTGGTGGGTGTCGGAACTGCGGCCCGTCTGCGAAATTCAATTTTGACCTCGGCCAATCCCTCGAGATTGATACTACGTGGGACGAGAATAAGGGACGAAGGGGAAAAAAGTGAGAGCGTAGGATTGTAAGCGCCTGGAAATCGTTCTATCCAGCCTGTTTTCGAGACCATTTACGCGGGATCATGTTCATCCTTTTTCTTTTCTTTTTGCTACCAAAGGGGAACTCATAAATCGACTATAAAGCCCCTTCAAAAAATATGCCGGCAAATATCTTCGTAAGAAGTTCAATTTATCCTCTCCCTCGACTTTTTCATCAGCGTTCGCAAGCAATTCCCAAACGGTCCTGAGAAAATCGCGTAGTGTTACAAAATGTTTGTCACTGAATATGCGCCTTTATATCTTCGCGAGTGGCGAAAGTATGAAAAAAAAAAGAAAAAAAAAATGAGAGTCAGCGAATAATAATGTGCTACGCTCGATTCGCGACCTCGTAAAGCTTTCCTGTCCAAGCATCCATGTTGATACGTAATTCCGACGGACGAGGTTGTTTCGATTCCCCTCCAAGTCAAACTAAAAGTTGCCGCTTAACGAGTTTGACCTGGTTGGGTCACTCACATGTGATATCCAGGGTCTCGGTCTCCTCGCTCTTGCCGACGTCGTTGTGGACCTCGCACTTTACGATCGCGTCGTGAAGATCGCGGGTCGCGTTGTGGATGATCATATCCGTCGTGTAGTCGCCGATTACCTTCTTCTCGTTGATAAACCACCTGTGAAATTAGAAAAAGAACCGTGACGATGGCCATGTAATGTGCTGAATAACCTATGCACGGATTTTCTTTTAAAAACGGTTACCACCCATCGATCGACTCGTTGCATCGCAACAAAAACTCGGGGATAATTATAATTCTTTATTTTATATTTTTTTCCGAATTAACACTACTTCTCTGCACTTTATTTCTTATTCGACATCTTTCTACGGTAGCCTGTTCTCTGGCTACTTTTCTTATGTAGCGATCAAGACGAGTTTTTTTAGCGTAAAAGAAAACGTGGGAACGATAACTTTTTGCGAATTAATAGATCGATAAAACTTTCCTTTAAAACTTCATTATATTCTTCTATTTGATTCTTTTTCGTTTTCCTTTCTCGACTTCTCTTTTATCAGTCTCATCGAAACACACGTGTAACGTGTACACGAACGAAATCGCGAAACCATCGGAGCAAGCAACAAGACAACACGTAGGTAATGCGACACACACGACCGGCTAACATTGTCCTAAACTTTGCATTGTCCTCTGTTTGAAACGAGCATCAATTATTCCCTCGCTATGTGGTACGATCGATTGCTTGCTAATTCTCCTTTTGTCCTGCGTGCCTGTCGAACCGCTCTGTTGTCGGTACGATAAAGCAAGCGTTTCTCCGTTTCGCCGCTAAAAACGAGCAATTTAAGCATTCTCTGAGCGGCTAGGTTTGTTACCGCGTGTGTTCATCGTTTTGTCTATCTGATCATGGCCAATAGACAACCCATTCTGTGCACCGCACCGTGTAAAACGCGCCGGATTAAACGTACGGTGAATTGAAAAAAAAAAAAAAAACCAAAAAAACGAGCGAAGCAATCGAAGGGATTGTGGTTGTTCTTTTCGCGTGATGAAATACCGGTGGATGAAAAAACATATTACGACCATCGAACCAATATTTTTAACCATGACGTTTGACCAAAATAACTGGAGTTCAGATTTACCGAAGGTGGCATAGAATGATTGCAATTTATAACGAAATTTGTCACATATGATTGCATCTTAATTAACCTAAAATTCAATGTTAATAATCGTATGTATTTCATCTGAAAATGTCACATTGCGAAACATATGTGTGAAAATTATTAATATAATTAATTATTAGGGAAACCACCGCAGGTAAAAGTTGGTCCAACTTGAAAGACCTTCCTTTTCTCTGCCTCCCGTAGTTCTGATTAAAAGCAACATTATTTTGAATGGACAATCAAGTTAACTAGGTCAACTGTGAAAAATCGTTTACCTTGAAAAATTGTATGCTATCGTGACTCTTTGAAATAAGTTGGTAGCGCGAAGAGTTAAAAACACGTTTCAGATGTGCAGGAATACGAACAGCATCGACATCGATATGCAGCCACACGTAACAACAACGTTCCAAATTCGAGGGGCGTTCTTGCCTTGGGTATCGATCATCAGCCACCCAGTTTGTGCCTCGCCAGGGGCGTAGGAGGAAACAGAACGAGGCATTCGCGTTACACTACCACTCACCTGTACTCGACGTTCGGTGGATTGGCCTCGGCACGACATTTGAACCGGAGCTCGCTGCCCTCCACTATACGTCCGTTCTTGCCCAGACCCGAGCGGATCCTCAAAGAGACCTTCGGCGCGTAACGGACCTGCAATCCAACATACGACCATTCGATACCTATAGATGAGCGGTAAACACGAGATTCTCCGAGTGTCACGCGAGCCGATGCTTAAACTTTCATGACCATCGTCGTCGCGTACGATCGATCGTCGAACAGCCACGGCGCTCGCGTGACACCCGCAACACCTCCACGCACTTTATTTTCCGTCGGACGTAATTTCTCGACAATTAATATCGCGCGTTAACAAGCCGTTAAGTAAACGATGTACTCGACTCGTTGTTTAATCATACTCGGACGAATCGCGGCAGAGTCTCGAGAGAATTACGGGCCCCCTAGTCATCGCGAATCATTGACATCGGGGTTATACACCGTCGAGGAAAAGGGAAATGTAAAAGAAGAAGATCCCACCGTTCGGTAATCGGTGCAAGAGTTGAGTCTATTTTAATTTTCCACCATTTCGCTACTCACCTCGACACGTAACTTCGCGTTTTGCGGCGTGCGGTCGGCCGCGTTCTGACTTTGGCACGTGAACGTCGTGTTGTCGTGATCCTTGCGAGGCATCACCCTCAGCACGGATTTCACCGTGTACAACGGTCCGTCGTCGAACAGTTCCTTCGTTGTCTTGATGCCTCTGTGCAGCACGTTTCCCAGCCCGTCGATCCACGTAATCTGCAATAAAACCAAGATAGACACAATTAGACATTGAAACGATTACATTCCACGATGAAGATCGAGCAGGTGTAGTTTAAAGCGAAATCACTTAATTGAAGATCGAATTACTTAATTACGCTAACACTTTAAAGACCGTAACCGATAGTATTGCATGTGCTTTACCTAAACGATATTAATAAAGTTGATCGCCTTTGTAAAAATGTAATCGACAATTAAGTTTGTCATTAAAGCAGACGAATGGTTACTATATCTGCTCCATCGTTAATCATTAATTCAATAAAGCTGCTTCATTTCGTCAAAAAAGTCCATCGGATTTTCGAAGTAACGGGGATCGGCGAGTGCATTAGAAGTTGAGGTGAATGAGGTAGCAGGAAGGGAGGCCCGGCCTCTCGTATCGGAAGTTATTTCATTATAACGGACGTCGCGATATTTTATTCAATAATTCGGCTACCATCGATCCTCGCGATCGAGCTAGAAACGCTATCGAAAGTACCTGCTGCAGCCAGCTTCCGACAACCACAAGGCTTCATCGCGAGCTACGAGCTTTCCAAACTTTCAAATTTTCCTTGAAATTAATTCAGCTTGTAGCGGGCTGATTGAAAATCTCTTCTACCTCGCCACTTTTCTTGATCAACAGAATGTATTCTGTCATCTTTTTTCTTCGGTTAGGTGAATCGAGGTCGTTTTGAAAACAAGCGCGAATCAATACAATTTTATTTAAAAAAAAAAAAAAGGGGGGGGGAAACGATGCTTTTTACAGTAGCTTTCTCTATAAATTTTATAATAGCTCATTTTATCTTTGTGCTATTATTTTGTTGATTTAATTAGCATATTTCTTATCTATATGATAATAATAATAATTAATGAGAGGACGTGAAATAATATGACAAGTACAGAAATCGTGTGTCATGGATAATTAACCCTTTGCGGTGGTACATTCAACATAATTGAACATCGATTTTATTCTAGCAAGCTTCAATGTCCAGTATGATTGGATATTACATTAATCAGCATATGATTGGATCTGTTTGTGCCATATAACTTCATGTACATTTGTAACGATACTCTAATGAAAGGTAAAGCTTTATGAAATTTCTATTACCTGTAAGAAAATCAATACACGCAACTGTAGTATATTTAATTCAATTTATAATTATGCAAAAGCGCACTGAGAAACATTTAAAACTTGAAATTGCTAATAACATTATGTACCTATTTGCGATGTATTATTATCATTCAAAATTTATTCGATAGCACGAGCACTTTTCCATTGGTATTGTAGACTTTATTCGTCAACGGCTAAATCGAGAGTGTAAGAGTGGTGGGGCCACTATATTAATATGACTGTCCCTGCAATCCCAGAACTTTCTATGGCAACAAATGTTATTAACAAAAGATGTAAAACAGATCATTCTCGATTTAGCCGTTGACGAATAAAGTCTACAATTTTGAATAAAGTCAACAGTATATCTGGAATTGTTTGAATCACGGCTGCTTGTTGTACCTGTCAATCAATCAAGACAAAATTAAGAAATCGATATTTGGTCGCAGTGCAAAAGCGATCCAATGAAATTCAAAATAAGAAACGTTGCGCCAAGTATAATTTGCCGAACTTACCCAAAGTGTCGTTCTATTTGTACGGCAGCTCGTCTGTTGAAAAAAAAAGAAAAAAAAAAAACGACGAATAAAATTATCGTACGAAGGTGAACTTTCCGTCGTTCGTCGCGCTCGTTAATTAGGCAAGCGCGCGACTAAATTAGTACAGGTTGCGAAAGGAACATCAGACGTTGAAACGTTTCCAGAGGAAAATCGAACAGCTTCACACGAAGCCTCGCGATCGAGTACTCGTCCGACTATCCGGATAATGAAAGTGTGCGCTCATTGCAGAGTGTAACGCCGAAAAAAATCTCCTCTACCTGCTGCATTTGACGAGTATCGACGCGCACTTTTCTGGGAACCTTCTCTATTATTTGTATAGGGAGAACCGAGCAGAGTCTACTGTGTACGTCTACCTGTGTACGTGCGAGAGTTGCTCTACCGTGGCTGCACCAACGCGAATCGATCGTATCGTCTATAATTAGGCATGCTGCATCAGTGCTGCTGCACTCTCGTATCGCTTCGAGTTCCGAGTTCGCTCAGCTCGAGCACTGTTTACGACACTTACCAGCGAACGTACTTACGTGCATACATTCTCGTTTAAAACTCGCACGACACCTGCTAAAATCTCACGGTGTAAAAGAAAATAATTGGAATCGTTAAAGTATTTTAAAGAACGCGATATATCTTAATTAGCTACGCGTATGATAAGAAATTCGTGTAGGAATATGTATATCCCAACGCTTGACTTTTGAACGGCGATGTACATACGCGTCAGACACGTTGTAATTTTAATAAACGCGCTGCAATTACGCGGTGGGAGTGCAAGACGAGGAGCGAACAAAGGAGGCAAAGTAGAGGGAAGAGAAAAGAAAAGGAGGAAAAAATAATGACGCGAGATCTTCGGGTCTGGATGGACGGTCTTTGAAATTTCTTTCCTCGCTCGATGAATATTCGATGAGCGCCTCCTCCCTTGGCAAGGGAACTTTTCTTCTTGCGTCTTCGTTCAGGAAAATATACGTACTCTACTACGCGGCCTTACGTGCTGGAAGTTGCTAAAGAACGGTCACCGACTTAATTTCAGCTTGGTCGGCGATCGTGAAAGTGACCATTCGTCGATGGATAGCCCATCTTCGCGTGGACAATACGAAACGATTCGAGAAAAATGGTAAAAGACCGTTCGCCAAGAGATATTGCATTCGAAGGTAGATACGAGGCAAAATTGACATCAATGTTTTGCCTATCGCCAGGATCGAAGAAGATTTTACTTTGTTGTTGAAGAGTACACGATCGATCGTGATTATAAGCGTCAGAAAGAGACGTTCGATCGATTTATCCAACCCTAAATAAATGCACCGTAAACGTTCGTGGCGGCGTTCACCGATTCTTCCGTCGAGCGATTTTTTACGACCTAAATATCGCGATGATGAACGTCAGCCGATCGTCCTCCCTTTTCTGCGACACCGTGTCTCCATAACCTTGGCACCAGCCGTTTATTTCCAGCCCAGCCTCCCCTAACGCTCCTGTATTTTTATAATTCCATGTAAGCGGGTAATCTCTTCTAATGTTTCCGCGCCGGTTCGTTAAAGGGTGCTTTATACTCCTTTATGAAATTAATTAAGAAGCGGGAAAGAGGAAAGAGATGAAAAGATAAAAGTAGAGACTGCTCGGTGAAATCGGCTGTTTTTCCCTTATTTCTGAATAATTGCGTCTTGGCAATTTTTGGCGTATATGTATAGGTCACAAACCTTCCCTCATATGTTTCAATTAAAGAGAAGAAAGAAGATAAAAAATTCTATATCTTCGATTCCACGAAGTCCGGCTGTTCGGCTACGTTTTATTCGCGGAAATTAATGAAACGTACAAAGCGCTTCAATCAACTACTTACTTGATACAGCGACGTTGAATTAAAAGCGTTTAAGTGTCACGTGTTTCCGTATGAGGCCACGTCGCATGCTAGTCTTATCGACGTTAATTGGAAAAGCAAAGGAGGATGCACGAGAACCCGTTAGCAATTCAGAGTCTCCTAGTCATGGTGCACCTCCATCCCATCTTCTTCGTCTGCTTTTCACTTCGGCTGTTTACGCGCTCAACCCCAAGCTTCAACTTGTCTCTTCTCCGATCGTTCCAAGGATATTTGTGAGAAATTATAATATCCACCCCCATCGCGATTCATTGCGTTTATACGTTAATAAACAGAATCGAAGGGAGGACACATTTGAAACGGAAAATACGCCGTCGACGAATTACCAACGAGAAATAGAGAAATCGAAGAGATGATCATCCGCCTCCTCCCTTCCACACGGCTTCGCGTTTAATTGCACCCCAACCAAGTAATTCGATCGAATAAATTGGCCGCGCGACGCTTCCTAACGAGCAGCTTTCTACTCCAACGACCGACGAGTTAGAACTTTCGGCTAGCCGGCTTGTTTTCGGTCTTGTCCCTGGTGCCAGCCGTTTCACCAGCTTCGTTACGAAATTTTTATGAAAATCCATCGTGCTGGATTATCGGTAACCCGTCCGTCGGCGATCATGCTTTATAGAATTCCATAGACATTGGGAAAATGATAGGCTTTCTATTTGATCATAGTATTCTCCCTACAACGATACGCATAATGCGCCCGTTTCGAACACTGCCGAACAAATATCCCGTTAATTTCAGTAGCCGCAATTGGCCGGTGTCCAGGGATCGAACGAACGCGATTCGTTTAACCCCGGTATCGCGAGCTCGTCTAATTTTTATCGGCTCTCCCTCGCTCTGCCAGAGATATCGGTTTTAATGAAACCATCGTTGCCGTTCTCCCTTATGAATCTATGCAGCGGGTTTCCGCGATGTTTTCCTTTCCCTAAATTCGCAGCGTGTATTTGCATCCTCTCTAGTGGCTAGGGTGAAAAACGTTTCTTTTGATCCCCAGCTCGACCGTAATAGAATTAAGACCGTGACAGGGGTATTAAAATTTTCTTGCCAGGGAAAGACGACGATGTTTCGTGGCCAACTTGCCGCAACAATTTGAAAGAAACTTTACTGCATCTAAGAAGTTACGAGGAAATGAAATAGAACAGCCCCCACAGTGGTAGGAGACACGAAAACAGACAATCGAGGGGTGGAATACTCGGTAATAATTGAAATTGCACCGGTACCATGGATGGACTCGATACGACGGTTAAAGTACGAGTTACGGTCTCTGCTTAATATTAATTTTCAAATTATACGACGAAGATGAGGACTCACCGCGAGATCCAGCTGTTTTATTCATCCACGGAAAACTCATGAATTATACAAAGGATACAGGCTGCCGAATACGCTATGCTAGCCACGGTTGCATTCTAGTCGCGCCTTTTACCCGCGAATGGTTAATTAATGTGCCATGCATTATCGTACGTAGGATTTTTGTCCGAGGCTCCAGGTTCCTTGTCTTTATTAGAAATATTTATCACCTTTGACTCTTACCTAGTTTCCCACGAGATTACGAGAAGCGCTAGAAAGATGGTAGCCTCGTTCTTCGCATGGCAGAGGACGAATTTCCGTCGTTGCAACGAGTTTTCAACGAGTTCAACGAGGACGAAAAAAATGTCGAGGGTCGACGTAACCGGCGGTAAAATTCGCGAAACTTCTAACGATCCGTTTCACTCGAGTCTTCCTCTAAACTAACGCGATGAAACGTTTATCGACGGACTTTCGAGTTCCAAAATACGAACCGTACTCGTTACGTTGTAACGTAAACCATGAACTCGTGGGAAGTTCTCGTAAACGAATCATTTGATATGGAAAAACGATGTCGGTCGTGTAGAGGGGAAGTTTGAAAAGCTTCAAACTGAAATAGAAACTTTGCATGACGATCTCTTTTCACAAATGGTCGCGCATTCGCGAGTAACCAACAAATGAGGGTTTTCGATTGAACCCACGTCTCGTTAACTGCACGTAAATTTATAGCGAACACATGATTTAGGAGGATATTCCTATTTGAAAGAGTAACAAAATTTTATGTTGTAAAAGCACCTGTTTCAGTTATGACGATAATTTGAATGCAAAAGAATTATCCGATTTTACCATGCTTTTGTTCCCCCTTTACGAGTCACTTGTACGTTTTGTTCCTCGGTAAATTCCCCTGTTATACAGTAGAATTGTACAGTTCGAGACAAATTATGGTGACGTACTCGAGTGGAATAGCATTTAGAAAAAAAAAATAAAAAAAAATTTAAAGTGCAGCCTATGTTGGCTAGCGTGGTTGCTCGGATCAATCCAGGAACGTTTGTGCGCCACCGCGAAGCTTTCAACGGTCGAACAATAGCCGGAATTTTGCGGGGGTTTTTTGCGATTATTTCCCTCCTCGTACACAGTGAAGGACCGGGAACTCGCGTCATCGACGAATTACAACGGATCGAGAAGCGGTTTGCTGGCTGATTACGCTCTCTCGCTTCGTTCTTTATTCTTGCTTTGTTTTCGAGCACTCTCCCACATTTTTTGTTATCCGTTTTGAAAGGGACCGAATGTTGGGCGGAATTTGGAAAAGGGTCGGGATCAACAGTAGTTGTACCTTTTTTTTTTTTTCACGCCACATAAACCAGAGAATAACTATCTGTCCACACGATATACGCTAGCCAATGATATTTCGTTCTTCTCACGGCAAACAAGTGGGATTTCGGGGGTGAATAAAATCGTTGGCAGGTCACGGATTTCAGGAAGTCACACGCGTTGCTCTGCAATGACCACCCGAAACACTATTTCGATCTCTACTACGCGACGCGTTTTCCTCGTTTTTTCGACACGGTTAAATAAGTTCCAGTTTTGTTACGAATCGAGGTCCTCGTCACAGGATGGAAAGGAATTGAACGAACCGGCCACGTTTGATTTTTTGTTCTCTACTCGAAACAGTTTCGGTTCGGTATTTTGTAGTGTCGCGTTTTAATTTCCCGCATGTAACTGAATAAATGATTTTTTATTGGTAACGAATCTTTGAAAGCCAAGTTCGGTCTGGTCCCTCGATTTACCTAACAGACAATATAGTACCCAGGGGCTCGTCGTGCTCTTATCCTTGATAGTTTCTACAACCGTTCGCACCGCGAGGTGATTCCAGGGATACGAAACAAGGGTCGTGGAAGCATGTAGGATTGTTTTCCTCGTCCGCGGAACGATAATGTTTCGGATACCGGAGAAACGGCGTGTCGATCGGATGGTCGAGCAAACGATAACCTAATGGGCAGTGGGCGGTGATAATTGAATCTCGTTCACGAGAATGATTGTTCTCGCATCGAGATATCCGCGAGGCTGCTGAGGCCGCATACGAGCGTACACGATCGACGAAAGGAACTTTCGCTAAATCGGGGGAATCACGCTTACACGTCGGAGCGGGTCAGAAATGTTTACTGATGCATTTCGAGCGGCGTGCACTTTCCATCGGGCCCATCGCGAATCCCTGCGCTCCGTGTAACGGCATTAATCAGTGGGATTCGCGTAACTTTAATTAAAAACCACGTAGCCCGCGAACACTCGTGAGACAAATTTAATTAATTTTTCACCGGCACACGACATTTTCAGCATGCCATCGATCCGTCTCGAGGACGAATTCCCGCGGCTCGTTATTTGCATATCTAGGCTAAAACGCGTCCTACGCGGACGGCATCGCGGCACCGATCGAAAGCGAATTTCTGTATTAACGAACACAATCGCGGTCGCTGAACGAACGGTGAATTAGCGGCGAAGCCAGGTTTTGCCGCAAAATTGTTCGCGGTGTCGCGAATCAACCGGCGCATTAACGCCGCATCATCGATATCCACCGGCCAGCCCCATCTTTATTACGTCATCGATTCGATAAGCTCTTGGATGAAATCAAAGTCCAACGAGTTTTCATCGCAAGCCCGTTTCTGTTTCCATACGCTGACAATGAAAATCCTTGCGCTTTTTAATTACGGATGACCAGAGAGAAATGGTAGCATAAATTTAATATAACAGTATATTTGAAAGGAGAAAAATTAATGGTCAATACCCTTAATCAAAAAGTAGTAATGCAATCCCATGTTGTCGATACAATTTAAAGTATCCAAATGAAATGAACTCCCTGAGGAACCATCTTGACATTTCCCCTTACTTTCGATTGCTATCTAAGAATACGACGAGACGTCGAGACTGTATTTCCTGATTACCTACCGCGTAAATTGATTTAGTTCACGGATTACGGCACCACCGTAGCTTTTTAATCGATCAACCCGATAATTCGATTCTCTTGGTAAAAGACTGGTGAACCTGAAACAGCATTAACTCCACCTTTCTCGCCACGAGATCGCATCCCGGCTCGATAATTCGATCGCCGCCAGTTCCAACGCACAGTGTACGTGCAGCACTGGCTTTTCGCAGGATTAATGATACCATTATTCGAACATCATCACGTCTACGCGGAATTGAAAGGGAGTTGCCCCGCCATTTTGCTATTTCAAACACACAGAGGTGCACGCACACGACGCGCGAAAACACCGCTGCCAAAGCAAACGTACAAAGAGCGGAGAGAATAGGGGTGCTGTTGCGGTCCGCTTTTGCCCGCTCGCGAACTCTTTTAACTTGCGCCATTTTTTTTCCTCCTTTTTTTTACCACGATGCACCAGGCTACGTTGCAGCACGTTCAAAGATCCGTTTCCCGCTTTCACGATATCCAACAACGGCACCGCAGCTGTTTCAACCTCGAAGCGGAACCGAACTCGGTCAAGCTGCCATTTCGCCGAGTCGCTTCTGGTTGTGCCCGGTTTGAAAGCGGCCCGTTATCGTTTTCGAGCCTCCAAAAGTTTGGGAAAAAGCACACGTGGACCGTGTACATTTCCCGGAGCGTTCGAACAAGATTTTTCATCCCTCGGATGCAGAGAGGACACGCGAGGCTTCCCTTTAGCGAATGTCACACGGATAAGAAAAGACAAAGCTTTTGCGCGGTAATTATGTGTCCGACGTAATGCGGTTTAACGCGTTATTGCGGTCTCCAGGCTCTCGCGTTTACGCGGCCAAGCGTTTTCTTTCCGCTTTTAAATTAGTTCCTGTTTTATGGAAGGTACCGTCTCCGCTCCTTTCGAGAACACGATTTAAATCACTGCGAATTTTCTACATCAAGTTGCTAACTTTTTCATCTAATTAAGTTCCTTACTCGTGGGAGGGTAAGTTAAAAATAATGTCAAAAATTCTTTTTCGCGAGGCGTTGCAATAACTCGACTGTCGTTGACACACGATAATGTTCAATTTGACACGAAATTGAGAGATCCTTTGGTAAGATGTTAACACTCTTTTGAATATCCTTTCAAACATGGTTTATATCGATCAAATGTCTACGGGGTCGAGAAACATCAAAGAGCCTTCAATCCCGTAACGCATTTTGCCGGTAAACCTTGTTCATGTTACCAGTTGGTAAATCCTCGAGCAATCTCGCAGTTCTTAACATCCGGTCGAATCGATATTCGAAAGCAAACTAGAGAGAGGGAGGGAAGCTTACCTCCGCAGGCGGCTTGCCAGCCACGCTGACGCACTCGATCACCAATTCTCGGTCCTCGGTCGTGATAAGGAAATCGCCCTGAAGGATCTTCGGCTTCTGAGGCGGAACCAGCACGCTCAGCTTGGCGAATCTCGAGCGCAATGCCGGCTGCCCATCGTTCGTAGGCGAGGCTTGGCATTGGTAAGTGCCATCGTCCTCCAGTTCCACGGGGTATATGTGCAGCGAGAAGTCACCTGGAACAACGGAAAAACATAATTTAACTTTAAGGTATTTACTTAGTTTCTATGCAGCTGGACTTTAATTCGGAAAGGTTCGCGTTCACAAAGGAAATTATGCAATAAATTTATATTATAAAATATCTTACTTCATAGAATATCCTGAAAATTATATTAATATGCTTTATCAGATTTTTTCTTTATTTCCTCTTCTTTTATTCGCTAATATTAAATTCACGGTGTCAGTTACCCGTATCATACGTGACAGCGTTAATAATTAGTTTTAATATGTCGTACTATCTACCCTTGTTCATTTTCACAATGACAATTAACGTGCTAAAGAATTATTTATCATTAGGTTCTATTTCGCCGGAAAAAAGGGGGTCAGCTGGGAAGGGAATCGCGTTAGTGAAACGCCGCTAACGTCTTCGGGTTCGCGTTGTAATCGAACGGTCTGGCTGGCGCGATGAATTTTTAGCGAGTCAGGCGTCGGGGTGCGAGTAGAATTCCGCAGGTTTGGAGAGGCGGTCCGCGGGCAAATTGAACCGGCCGGGACGGGCCGGAGATTTTCACTTTATACGAGGCCGGGTATCGCCAATGAGAGGAGGAACGAGAAATGGAGCAGGGGTCGAGATAGAAAACCATTTACCCCCGTTGATTGAAACTAACGGTTTACGAGCGTCTGCTCGATCGTATCGCGTCGGACCCTGTACGTAGAGAATTTCTCCGACTGACGGTTTTATTTTGGAATCTCCACATGTACGTGTTAGCTGTCAAGAACAACGCGCGTCGACCGTTACAGCGCGAATCAGCGCGAATTAGAACCTGGCCCGTTGTTGGTCACGTCAGCAAATTCCTCTTTTCCTTTCCCCAATGGAAAAATAGAGATTCTTTTAATCGTTATTCAATCCTAGAATAGAAATTCCATTATCACGATGATACAGTCTCGAGTCAGTACTCGAAGCTCGCGAAGAGTATCTAGTAGCGACGATTATCGCCAGCGGCAACGACCAATCGTGTTCAAGTAAATTCGTCCTGTCGCGTGATTTATTTGCACCCTTCCGTTCTCAACTCCACATCCCGTCCTCCTCTCCATCCACCCATCCATCCATCCATCCATCCATCCATCTATCCATCTAGACATCTATCATTCTGTCCCCCATCTATCTGCCCAATTCCCTCTACCACCCTCTTCGCGTTTCTTTCATTCCATTCATGCAACTTTCACGAGCCGCTTCTCTCCGCGGCATGCACGACGAAGCAATTGTGCTTCGGCTTCAACGAACGGATGAAACCGAAACGAACGAACAACCGGACGATCCCGACGGACGTCGATCCGGAAACGGAGATGGGGTTGTCGTTTCGAGAGATACCAAGGGGGTGGACAGCGGAAGCGGCAAATGGAAAAATGAAATCGTCTCGCTAGTACACACCCGTTGATCATCCCCGCGACTAAACTCTCCTTCTCTTTCCTACAGGATGTAGCAAAATCCATACACGCACGAAAGTTTGTCTATTTGGTTGTCAAAATCGTCTTCGTGATCGATTAGCAAAAGAAAAGTACGAGATGGAAGCGGTGTAAAATCAGATGGTAAAACAGCGGCAACCAGTATTCGCTAAGATATAACGCCGAAACTCTGCGTGTTCGTGGAGCAGACAATCTTGAGGGACTCGTATTTTTCCAACCGCGGGAGTTTGAGCGTCAGGGCTGGAGCAACCCCTGAAGTTTCACCCCCTGGTGTCATCGTCGGAATTATTGAAGACGTACGAAAACTTCCAGCAAATTTTTCAAAGCCCTCCCCCGTATAAAGGATGATTCATCTTTCTCATCTTTTCCATCTTCGACTATAACTCAAATGTTCTTTTAAAACGAGAACTCAAGTTTCCCTGCTCTTCTTCTTACTTTATAGGTAATTGCCGTGTTTGGCAACTTATTTGTTCACTGCTTTTATGATATTAACTCTGAGCTACATACTAAATATGTTAGATACCTGTAATACACTGAACGTTGATTTTAATGTTGGTTTCATAACAAATTTAAGTACAAGTGAAAAGTGGTCCGGTGTCGACCGTCCACGAGGTTGTTCGGTGCTCGTCCAAGAGTTAATTCGGCCAGTAGTATTCCGCTCACAAAACTCTATGGTTTCGTTGTATCAGCGTACAGGGCCCGTGGAAAGTGGATCATTTGGCGTGTACCTCGTTTCGTGGAAACGCAAATATTCAAGGGGGTTACACGGTTTACGAGCTTTCTGTCGTTTTTGTGTGCCGCAAACAGCAACATCCAAGAAGGCAATAAACGTCGTGTTTCGTTCCTTTTACGTGCCCCGAGCTAGCTAAAAGCCGCACGGGATACGTATTAACGTATCGTGAAAACAAAAAGGATTTCACTACTGTGGTTTCCCCGTTTTTCCGCTGGGGCGGGTTGCAATATCGCGGAAAATTGGATCGAAAAGTATTGTCGGCGCGTTATCGCGGCGCAGACGAGACGCGGCAAGAAACGAGTGGAAGTTGAAACGGGGAACATTTTTCTTCGTTTTCCCACCGTTTATTCGTGAGTTATTTTCACTGACAAATGTTTCGAAATTGAAAATATTTATACCGTGATCTCAATTTCGCGATCCATAATACAAAGGAACACGGTGAACACAGCACCGTCGGGAGTCCTTCCATTTTTTTTTTTACGTTCCTTTCTCCCTAGAGAAAAACAAAAATAATTCACGTTCATGCGCAAATATAACTTGCCAGGATTCTCGTGCATTATGAAGGACAATAATTAACGCTCCTCCGGAGTCCATTCAGCGAACTTTCGGCAACTCCGGTGTTCAGGAAAACCGCGGCTCACACCAGCTCGAGGCGAGTTTCCTCTTCGCATTTGCGATTATTTGCGCACGGTGCTCGCTCGCGGATCATACCTGCAAGGCCAACGACACGAAGAACTCGCCCTAACTTGCTCGAGGACCGACATTAATTTTCTCTGACGATCAGCGTCGTTGAGTATGACGAGATACGTCGAATTCATGGTGACAGTTCGCGTAACACGGGATAATGCTTTCAAGTTTATGAAATAACGAGATTGTGGCGGTATTTCCTGCGAATCGTCCGAAAATTTCGTGTACATGATCGTGGGATCGAGACTCTCAGACCGTGTAAAAGCAACCGTGCAAGCACAGTAGTTAAAGAAGTTACATTTCTGCTATCCTAATCCCTATTTTTCATGGTAACATTTCTGAGCCAACTTCAAGTATCTCAGCGTTTAAGATACCGATTTGTTAGTACCTACTTTTCATGGATTTCTCCACACAGGAGTTCTGAACAAACTTCAAGTGTCCTCGTATTTAAGGTACTTACGAGTCTACTAGGCAGCCTAGAAAATCCTGGAAAAGTGCCCTAGTACCTATTCCTCATGGATTTTTCCATATAGAACTTCCGAACTAACTGCAACTGTAACTGTGTTTAATCCTTTCCGACCTGACGCACAAACTTTCCTACGGTACTTAAACTTTCAGTTAGAAAATTGTTTGAAAGCTTATTGCACGGAACTTAAGTATCGAGGTGTAATAAGTAACTGTTCCGACTATAATAGTATTTTCGAGTGTTCGCTATCGCGATCTGGACTCGGCAAGTGCGCCAAGAGAAATCTTACTTCTCGAGACACGGTTTCAGAAATTTTCGACTAACTATTTGGACAAAGAGATAGAAAGAGCAAGGACGAGACGATATACAACTCTTTACGGTAGGAGACAGCCGAGAAGAGCTTTAACGACTATAACTGGATGCAGCGAAACAATGCATCACGAACAATTAGTTAGTCCGGGCTCAGTCGGTGATATTACAAACGGCCATAATTAATTTTAATTACACGGTACAGGTAACGAGCACTCCACTACGGGCAACTATGATTAATTACGCTTCGTCAGGCTTGAAGGCATAGATCGTTGATGGATCCGGACAACGTTCAGCGGCGATGATACGCGTTCGAGTTTACCCTATGCGTCTTAATAGTTCACTCGTCTTGCTGTCAACGCCGTTTCATAGCTCATTCTCTAATTTATAGACGACATCTTCTCTTTAACCCTTTACCATATAACATCGAGTTGAGACAATTTATAATTTTCAAATCAGGCAGAGTTGTACAATATTATTTTAAAAGATCTCAAGTTTCAAATTTCAACTTGTAATACTGAATTTCCCTGTCAGACAGAGTTGATAAGAAAATTATAAGAGGAGTTGTTAAATTGTAAATACTACCTAATGACTGGAGTTAAAAATAAATAAAGGATTGAATTACGGAGTAACTTACTTGATAGACGGGTGGAGCGACAAATAACAGCGTTAGATCGACGATTTCTCTGGCTCGAAGGAATCTCGACGTAATTGAATTATAATTATGATCTATTTGAGGCGTACACGTCGTAGCTCCAAGGAAATCAGCTAAATTTGGATCCATATAAATCTGTATCCAAAAACGGATACGATGAGTATTCTAATCGTGGTTTTGTCGTCAAAGGGCAACACAGAGCCGCCTTTTGTCAGAGAACGGAAACGAACACAGCGTACGCGGGTCCGCGTGCAATATCCGGAAATTTCGAATTCGAAATCAGGCCAACCTTCCGGCCAGATTTCGGTGGCGTCGAGCAATAATCGGAAAACGAAAAATTTGAATAAACGAGGAAAATGGCCAGCTCGTATACCGTAGAGAGGCTATTTTCTCCGTCGAATACAATACATACGGATTACCCCGTTTTCCACGTACTCGTTTTATACGTACGAATACTAATAATCCAGATTTAACCGCGGCGGTATGTCAATCAGCGAGGCTATTACTGCCATTATTATTTCGGTTAATTGGATCACAATTTCCCGTTACATTCGCGTACACCGGGAATTATATGGCATTATCGTTTTGAATCTCGCCACGTCGAGAGAAACCGCATTCTGTCGCATCGTGGCCACCGCGCATTCGTTTTTACCCCAACTCCCATTTTTCACCTCTTTCTCATCCCTTTTTTTCATTCTTT